GGCTTTACTTTACCTACCTCGAATATATCCGACCTGTATTTACGTTATTAGTTCACCGTAACATCGTCAAGATTTTTCCGGCCCGCGAAATTGCCGATTAACGCGTCGAAACTCTGAGCCATGGCCCAACGAAATTAAGGGAAACAATAAACCCTGGCAATCTCGTTCATCAAACCCTGATCCTCCTTCCTTGCTTTCAATTTCAATCACTTTTTCCTAAGGAATTATTTCTGACACGTGGCTCGTGATTTGATCAGTTAGAAATTTTGAAATTTGGGGATGTAGAAAGATTTGAGAACTTTTAATTTTGAAGATTTGAAAATTTAACGATGTGGTAATTAATTTGGAAGCTGAAGAATGTCAAATATTGAGGACATAACAGATAGGGGATGTCAGAATTTTCAAAATTTGCAAACCTTGTCTTCGATAACAAAAATAGTAAATTAATTTCAATAACAGAAGTCGAACTTTCGAAAAATTTTGATGTAGAGAATTAAGAAGTATAAGAACCCTCCAGCGTGGTATCTTATCGCGTGCACTAAAGCTCGAGTTTAAAAAGCAAAATGCAAATGACGCGTGAAAGCAGATAATTCCTAATTGCTACAAATTCCAGCAAGTTGGAACAATCGTTCCGAGAAGCATCTGGTCGAATTACTCGAAGAAATCCGTGGTTTCGATCGTTTGTTCGTCCAGCGATAGGTGCTCGGACACCTTTCGAGCGACAGAATCGCGAGTGCCATCCCGTCAGAGAGATAGGACGCGGTGTATTCGCGCGGAGTGCAGGATCGACGCGGCAAAACGCCTTTTAATCTTGTTTCTTCGAGCGTCAGGCATTTTTCTGAGAAGACACGAGGAGGGCAGCCGTCTATTTTCGCCCTCGGAGACGAGGATGCTAAACGTTAAACGGTGACAAACGCCACCGAGGAAGATAGGCTCGCGCGACGCAACGGATGCTTGTACCATTAACCGCAGACCACGGATTGGGATAGATCCGAGGACTAATGGAGTCGTTCGACTGTAAGCGGCTCGGCAGAAACAGGAAAAAAAACATGGAAAAAGAGAGGGAAAGAGATTTCGTATCTCTTGTCAAACAAATATCGTTCCCACGCGACCCAAGCTGCAACATCTGTTTTCCTATAGAAAGCTTCGCGGTTACCATTCTCGTTAACTAGAAAGTGAAACGATTTTGGTAACGCTCTTTTTACGCTTAATTGCGTGTAACTTTCATTGCACGATTAATTAAAATACTCTTACCTTTTTGTACTACGGATCTGATCTCGTGAGAACTTTTGCTCAAACTCTTGGCACTTACATTAATTTAAAGCTTGTACTTTGGTGGAAGTAACTGTATAAACGTTTTATTATGTTAAATATCCCCAGATGGTACTTATAGTACAGGAATATAAAGTTTCAATAGCAATGAGAATGTCTGTATGAATTTTTCAAGCTCCTAATACGAAATGGCTGTTTTATCAGCTAACACAAATGTATCATAAAATGGCTTCTGCTACATGAATTTAAAATCTGAAGTTTAATGATAATTACTACTATTTGCATTTCTAATGTAAGTATAATATAAAATAGCTGATTATCAAGACAGCCATTTTGTGGTAACACAAAAGTATCACAAAATGGCTTCTGCTACATGAATTTAAAGTTCGAAGTTTAACGATAATTACTACTATTTGCATTTCTAATATAAATATAACACAAAATGGCTAATTATCAAGACAGCCACTTTGTGCTAACACAAAATCATCATAAAATGGCTTCTGCTACATGAATTTAAAGTTTGAAGCTTAACGATAATTACTACTATTTGCATTTCTAATATAAATATAACACAAAATGGCTGATTATCAAAACAGCCATTTTGTGCTAACACAAAATCATCACAAAATGGCTTCTCCTACATGAATTTAAAGTTCGAAGTTTAATGATAACTACTACATTTGCATTTCTAATGTAAGGTGTTCAAGGTGAAGGTATTTTTATAGGGATATAAAAGTGATTTGATTTGAAAGGGTCTGATAGTTACGGCACTGGCGGTTCCCTTTCCCTTGCTACTATATTCTATCTCTGTTTAGTTGGCGACGTTTTAACCCATGTGCCGGTCTTTGCCGGGATATCATCTGGAAGGTGAGACGCAGCAGAGAAGCGCACCCGGTACGGTGGACTAATTGGCCGATAAATCAACCTCCGGCTTACCTTCTCTCCACCGTGGCTTCGCTGGACCTTTTAGACTCATAGGTGGACTTTCCGGACGTAAGGTACACACACGCGCCTTCAGTCTAATTTTGAACGACGGCTCGTACCTCGGATAAATTCACGATACGTCTCCTGCAACCCTTTCTTTCGTTACCCCTTTATTTATTTATGACGCGTGTCGCGTTACGGTCAATCAACACCTTCGTACCACCAGCCATAAAATTTTCAGATTAAAACGACGGAGGATTTAATTACTGAAATATGAAATCAACGTACTTGCTACAACTTCGTATTTATTAACTTGGAATTAGATCTTGCCACAACCTGTTTTATCGTTCTCTTATTTCGCTCGAGTGACTTGTAATTAGAAATGAAATTATAGGACTTAAAGGACTAATTTAAATTTTGCACAAAGTAGAGATAGTTTATATAAATAAAGTATACTTTATCCGCGTCATTTTTAAAATATAAATATAAATTAGTTTAAACGGTTCATTTATATTTTCGTCCGGAACGAGCAACAGAAAGATTTTAGCCCGTAATCGCGTGTTCTCGTTAACTGTTAATTACCTTTTCCGCTGATTACACATTCAAATTGACGAGGTTTAATTAAAAGCATCGATTAAACGTTCTCCGTGGCACGAAATCGGTCCGTATACTCTTCAACTTTATCCCCGAACGTCGTTTCTCATGATTTCGAGCAAAAGCTACGCATACGTTCACGCATTTAATGCACCAATCAAGTCCCGGACAGAACGACGCGAGAACGCCGTCCAAACGAGCACGACGAAGATATTTTATCAGCGAGGATCGAGATCATCGCCGATAACCGACAGCCGACGCGATAAATTCTCCTGCGTGACCGTCTCTCTACCTATTCGCGTTTTCGTGAAAATTCTACGTTTTCTGTCCCCATCCTATTTGTATCGACATAAATTTACCACTGTTTCAAATTTCGAGTATGATATTCCACACACTAGTTCCACGCAACAAGAAAGTCTATAATCAACTTTGTGAACTTAATCAACGTCGTCCGTAATGAATGAAATTCAGAAAATTACGAGCTCAAATTCTCACAGCTATGTTACAGGCGCTGCGCAGACATACGATCGGATACTGACGCTAATTATGATTTAGCGATGTGCAGGTACGACTTAATTTTACATTATTATCTTTCAAAATTAGCTTATGCTACTTCATTAGATACTGCAACTTTGTAAGCAACATCACACACATTTTTTTTCGATATTATCAAATTTAAACCTACCGACGTGTGTGTACTTAATTTGAGATGAAAAATAAATAATCAAATGACAAGACATAAATTAGTACACACATTAATTCTTTGTCTTGATGAAGATTAATGTACATATTAAAAAAATCAATTCAACAAATTGTGTCTCAATTATCTTTCAAAATTAGCTTATGCTACTTCATTAGATACTGCAACTTCGTAAGCAACATCACACACATTTTTTTTCGATATTATCAAATTTAAACCTACCGTATGTGTACTTAATTTGAGATGAAAAATAAATAATCAAATGACAAGACAAAACAACAAAACATAATACACATTAATTCTTTGTCTTGTAAAAGATTAATGTAGATATTAGAAAAATCAGTTCAACAAATTGTGTCGTTTATAATAAGAATCTTGTAGAACAGTTATTTGGTTTGGTAGTTTTAGTGTTAAGGAGCTGGGCGATCAAAATTACCACAAACTTCGAAGTGAGCATCAGTCATTTAAAAATTTGATTATCGTTGAAAGATGATTGAGCGGAGACAGAAGCGTTCGTGTCGAAAGAGGTTAATAATCCTGGGCGACCACCGGCATCCCCGAAGAGAAGATTATCGCATCGAGACGATCGGTGTTCGATGCTCCCGTAATTTGTGTTTTCGTTATTGCGTCCGATTCCTGTTGGCCGCAGGCACGGGAGAACAACGACGGTATCTGGTGTCGCGGGAGCAGCCGAGAATGCGAGAAACCTCCACCGCGTGTGTGGAACAGGTTCTTCGTTTTCCGGGGGCAGATCGGTGTTCGCTTGTTACCGCGAACAGAAGGACGAAGACGGCGAAACGAAGACGGAGGTACGCCGTGTGTGAGCACACCGCACCGCACCACCACGTACGCGCACTAATCGCATCGAGCGAACTTGTTGGAATTAATTGGTCCGGCCAATTAACGCTCACGGCCTGAAACGCGTCGAGGGCAATGAAGGCGCACGATTGGCCTCGTCCCCGCCACCCTTCGACGCTCGATATCCTTCGCGGCGACCGAGCTTCCTGCGAAACCCCTAATTAATTTCGGACCCTGTTCCCAGAAAATTCGACACTCCGCCACAGAAATCTTGTTGATCGATGTAAATCTTATTGATTAAATTAACTCCTTTTGCTTATCGTCGACATCGTTGGGGGTTGCTTCAGCATTTGTCTTGGGCTGATGGGAAGGTCTCGGACATTCAAGGAGTTGTTTGTGTATTATTTTGTATATCGCAAATTTGAACTTCAAAATAGGGAAGGCTTGAACAGAGTACGAAAATGTTATACATTGAGCTAGTGATTTACATCAAGTTCAGTAGTTAACCCCTTGCACTATGACTTATTTGTCAGGTCAGTCAGAAATGCCCAATTAAACTGTAATATTAAAATAGACAAAAAAATTGAAATGGTATTTCAATATGTTATTATTCAATTGACTATGTAAATTATAATTGAACTCCAAATTGAAGTGTATTAAAAATTTGAGTAAAATTGATCACGACCGAGGTACGAGTGCATCAGACTCGTCAAAATAGTGCAAGATTAAGTCCACTTGATCAGCATCAAATATCTGACCCTATCAAATAAATCGGTAGACAACAGCAAAGTACCAAAGTATCCCAAGTCTCGTCAATCTAGAGTCTCCTTTATACAGACACGTAATGAATGTTTTGGACAGTGGATGATATCGGAGTTGTTGAAATAGAGACAGGCTAACATAACTAGAGATATAACGAATTCAGAAGCGTAGAGGCGTCTCGGCGGGCAAGTAGCATTAGCGAGGTGCATCCGTTATCGGCGATCGGCCGGCGTGGAACAGGGTGAAACCGGTATAAATATGCCGTCAAAGGACAAGTAAGATGACAGCTGCTGTACATATGTGATATATCATCGCTAACAAGCGGACAACGCGCGACTACTGCCTGGTTATGCCGTCCATTGTCGAAGATTACATCGTTATTTCATTGTTTTACCGGCCGATTCAAATTCGCTTTTTGCTGGCTCGTGCAGCGTACATGAATCAATATGTTCCGTAATAATCGAGTTATCGCGGGACGTAACGTTAGAGGAGCATCGTTTTCCTTTTACTTTCGATTAAAACTTCAATTTTTGTAACTGAGGTACTTTTGGTACTTTAGAGTCTTCTGATAATTATAAACGCCGTGAGGCAATGTAAGAGAAACAAGTTGAGCACGAAGAGAATTAGTCAAGGTTCTTGCAAAAGTCAGCAACGTGTTCTTAGAGTAGATCTGCCAATTATCTGAGCCGTGTTTCTAGGTATATTTCACACTGTACATGATATCCAATGATCGATAAGCGACACGCGCATTAATGTTCGCAATCAGGATGGGAACAGGATCGGGATCCGTAATCAGGATCGGCTGTTACGTTCTCGGAGGCCATTACTCAAAGATTCGACACGCCGGGAAAATACGCGTCACATGACGATTAAACGCGCGTTATACTAAGCTCAATTTCTCGTTAACCTGTCGCTCGAGGTTACACACCTTGAAATAAAATCTGCTCCACACCTATGCGTATTAAATCCAAGTAAATCGAATAGGATTACCGGCACTTTTCCTCATTTCGAGTCGAGAATCGAATCGATTATTCGATCTAATTTATCGCGTTACGTTATCGCTGTATCTCTTCGTCAATTTAAACCGGAAATCGTAAGGTGTTCGAGATGAATTCCGGCTCCGAAAGGAATACGACCGTAAGTTAGTACGCATTTTCGCACTTTCGGTAATATCGGTAACAACTGGTTACAGATACGGGCTAATTAAGCAAAAAGCGTGGAATTCTTATAGGTCTTGCGACGGGTGCGCGGAACACACGATAAAAAGAGGAGGTCTAAACAAATTAAAAGGGAGAAAGAAAAGAGAAGGAAGAACTGTTACGGTAGTGTCGGGTTTTCGATCGAACGCGATCCCCATGGAAAAACACGAAGCGAGAAGAAGAAATGGCGGATCCGTTTAACAAGGTGCTTCGCCTACCGGATAATACATAAGGGGTATTAAGGCCGCTACTCAATTGGGTATGAGCTCACCGAGAGGTGGACGTCTCAATTTTCTTCGCGACTTAATGACCGATCGTTAAAACCCGGCTTCGCCTGAAACCGGCTCCACGCCGCACGAGAACGACCAAGAGGAAACGAGACGAGGATACTCGGATCCTCTGCGGAGCCTTCTACCCACACCCTCGCGCAACGTGCTCTCGGCGTTCTAACGTAATCACGGCCTTTCTGTCGTAATGACGTTTATAAGTATTAAGACCCTATTCGTCCTCGCGACTTCGTAGATCATCATCAATACCCTAAACTACCCCTTTTTTCAACAATTCTCGTATCTATATAAATTGACAACAATTCGGGATTATATCAGTTCGAACTACTTCAACCCTTACCACCGGTAGTGCCAGGAGATGGACGCTGTTCCTAGACCTACACTTCATATTTCGTTAAAAATTAATTAACCACCCTCACGCGTTGCCGCGGGAACGACTGTCGATGCTAAATATCTGATAATGCATGACACCAGTAGTAAAAGAATGAAGACAACAAAGAGTAATTCAACGAGTGATCACACAATGATAGTAAAAGGCATGGTATTTAAAATAACATCAACTCAGAGCCCACAAACGTTAGGCTACTGCTTGCCATCATAAATTATTTAAATCTCAGGTGGCGCTGCATATATGCATTTTACGATTATGACCATCGATCCGAATATCATAACGTTATGAAGTTATGTGATTGCTAATTTTACGATTATTGCCATCGGTTATCGTCGCCCATACTGAATAATCAATTGCAAATAATTTGTGGTAAGTATACACGTTTCGATTCCGCGTTGATTGAATTTGAATAACGTTCGATTTACGCTCGTTCGCGCAGGTAATGACATGTCATTACTTTAAAAATGTACGATGAAAGTTCTTGAACATGATTTTAAGACACTTAATTCCCTTTATTAATTCTCGAGATGACTTCCATGATTTCATATTGGCTCTGCCATTCTTGTGTCGTTCCCTATAGTGTGCGAACTGTTCTGTAGACATAATCTACATTTTTGGACCCACAGAATGTATTATAAGCAGTATAAAATTAATAGTAACAAATTTATAATAAATATATCGCATATTAATCGATAAAATTAATAATAATTGAGTTTTTATAAAAATTGAACAAGTAGCGCCATCTCTCCGGCGAACGGGGTGAACTACACACTTTTGAAACAGCGCTTTAATTAGTTCCGATGTTCTACTGCTAGATGGCAGCACAAGACAGAAACCCTTTAACAAAAAAAAGGCATGCTTACAAAATTTGGTTAAAATCACAACAGACGGTAAATCAAAGTATGATTAAATATTATTATTTGCAAGTGCTTGTTGCACTTATTTAAATACGATTTATATTTCATACCAAATGCGCCCGCTATTGGAACATCTCGTAACTTTACTTTACTTTAAGCTACAGTCGATACATTACACTATGCGTTTCTACGATCGATACATATGATATTTAATAAAATAAGACATATAAAAAGGATCATAACATTTACATTTATACAGAGATAGTTCGGATCTTCGTCCTACTATGTATTCGTGCAGGCGTCCCGAAAGTCTGAATCCGTTTGAGCAATCGTAGAGGCACTTGGTTGGACTTCCGTCCGTAAGATTTCCGGTGCGCTATGTGCTCGTTCTGTTTGAGATTTCCACGTTTCCTCGGTTCGAATTTCTTGCACACCCACGTATTTTCTTAGAGCGTTTGATCGAATTTTTGATAGTAATTTCCCGTCCCCCGAATAATCGACGGAACTTTGATTCGAGAACTTGGCGAACAGTGTTTTCTCGGACTCGTTTTCGCACGATCTAACAATGAGGAAATAAATCTAATCAATCGTTTAAATGGGATATCAAAGAACTTGAACAATTTGCGAAAGTCAAACGAATGTATTACTCTCTTGAAATACAAAGAAAACGATTTAAAAAAATTTCATAAAAACAGAAATGATCTTCTTACTGAATCGGCGGCCACTTCACAGATTCCTTGCTACATTTTTTCGTACTTTGCGAAGCCAATTTAGTAATGATTTTTGCGTCAACGTTTATCAACTTCGGTTTTTGCGCGTAGCTTTTTAATTTCTCTATGTTCAAAGTTAATTGCTGTATCTGTACCTTGAGTACTGCGTTCTCGTGAACCAACCGAGCGTTTCTTTGTACCACCTAGAGGTACGCAGAACAAATAATTACTTTTTCAACCGACAGATGTTGCATCTTCCTGTTCATAAATAAAACGATTTGCAATATTCGTGAAGATTCACCTGTAAAAATTTTGCTTTGTTCAAAGGCAGAGGTTCCTGAAATTTCTCTGACACGATAATATTGAGCTCTCCTCTAGCCTCGTCGAGCTTTTCCATCATGTCTGCCATCACTTGCAAGTGCTCGTTCAACAACTGATCAAATTTCTGCCTCAAAGAATCTTTGGCGTATTTCATACGCAAAAACTTTATACATAAATTATAAGTTGTTTCAGTCTTCTCGTTCAATTCTTCTCTGAGCGACTTGTTCTCCTCTTCCAAAGAATCCCGCGCATCCTCCAGTTCTTGTCGCTGCTGTTGCAGTTTCGAATTACCAGACACGCATCGAGTTTTCTGCCGTTGCATTTCACTGTTGAAGTAATCCTTTTCCCTTTGATAGAAGAACTTTTCATCGTCCAACTGCTCTGAAATTAATTCGATACATTTAAGGATTGCAATAAGGTTAAAAGGGGTATTCGAAAGCCTTACGTTTGATGTTCCTCACGCATCTTTGTTGTTTCTTCAATTCTGCGGTCAACCGTTCGTTGCTTCGTTGAACGTTCTGTAGTTGCATATCTTTTATTTGTATAGTGTTTTCTAGAGATACAACCGCTTCTTTCAGATCCGACACCTTTTAATTACACATCGATTTTTCTGTTAGTCAATTAATATGTGTGTGAGGTCATAGACATTCGTACCTGTTGACGCAAGTTCACCAGTTCCTCGTTTGCTATCTGACATTGTGCATTCGTACAGAAAACCGTCGCATCCGTATTCTTATTCAAACTATTTCTTGAATTAATATTCTGCATATCATAATAGCGAATATTACGTTCTAGCGACGAGCGGTCAAAGTTTCCTGACCTTAAATCACATCGCAACAAAATGTTTTACGCTGTTAACTTCGGCAATGATCGCACCTACCTTAATACGCGAGCAACGATATTTAAATAATTTATAAATTTTTGTTCAGGTTCTGTCTGATCGTTAATTTCAAGATTCTTGTTACGGGATAAATTAATGTATCATCCACACAGTGGTGATCATCGAATCATGGTCTTTTCCTTTTATTACTTCACCGAGTATTGTACGAACGAACAATTTCTTTCGATCATATAATGATCAAAAATCATTTTCATAAAATTATTAACCATGTTTATATTATATTGACAATTGACTAACGTTTGAATACATAGAACTGTCTAACCTACAATTATGTGACAGCAACCGGAAACTTGGAAGGGTTTTGAATAAAAATTACATCACACGATACTGATTAAAAGTTGTGAAATTTTTTATTGTATCGTATATGTACAAAATAGGTGTACAGACTACTTATCAATCGCTTGGGCGCGTTTTGTACACGCTTTGTATATGCATTGATCGCATATAACACTGATGTAAGAGCATCACATTGTGTAGTACACCTGTAACCCCCTCTTCCTATTATCTTTCATCAAATGGAATGAATGTCGTGATGACGCTTAAATGTTTCTTTTAATTCTGATCTCATTATCTTTTTTTCCTCTTTACAATCATTAATAACATTCTAGTAATAAGGGTTTCTTGTGACTATTACCCCTTTTCCCCATCTTGTACACACGAAAATAATAAATTACACTGGAACGTTATCTTTGCATCTTGTTTAAACAGCGTAGTAATTCGTTTTTTCTGAATCGCGTTTACATGACTACGTTAGAATAGTGTAGCTTCAATTCACTGGAAGTGTCGATGTGTGAACACGGCATCGGAGAAGACAAAAAAGGAAATGATACAAATACACCTCACTGTAGGTTCGTCCGTGCTTTCCACTTATTTTATTAACAACAACTGGGCCAAATGTTTATTTTTCACTTTCACACGCAGAAACCGTATATCTTGCATTGCCACGCAGATCCCTTGCTAATTTTGATCACATTCGTTTTTCTTCGTAATTCCGTTGCAATGAGATAAAACAAGTTACCATGTGCGTTCAGCTCTCAGAAGAATGCCCTTTGAACTTTCAGCTTTATAAAATTTTGTCAAAAAAATAATTTTTAATTCGCGTTCTTTAATACTCCGCAAAATTTGTCTAATACGATTATAGGGGTCATTCTTCTAAGGCATTTCGAGGGATCTTCAGAGAGAAAATTCTCGTATTTCTTCTATATTAAACCTTACATTACTCGATTAAAATTGTATGTGGACCAATAAAACGTGCCATTATTCATTTTAAACTATGTAATGTTACACGCCGTGCTATCTCATTGGTCCAGTTGTGTCGTAGAAACGTGGAAGGCAACGCTTGTCGTCTGATAATCTGGTGAAACGATACTAGATTCGCACAAATGCGGATGATAATGATGGACTTACGCTTATTAGCCTAACTTAAAAGTTTGTTGTATTTCCATTAGCATTAAGGCTCATGCTTATTTTTTCTTGTTCTTATTAGCTTGATTTTTGTATTTGGCTGCAGTTGTTAATTTGGCGTTCTTCTTCTTGGGTTCATCTTCATCATCTTCCTCGTCTTCTGGCTCCTAACATATTGAAATAAGAAAGAGAATGTAACTCTGTAGATACTTTGACAAGATTTTTAATAGAGAAACAAATAACAAAAGATTGTATCACTGACATTTCAATGTTTCCTTTCCCTACAACATTAAAATTACGATTCAAAAATAAAAATGGAAAAAGAGGAAACATGATGAGTAAAGAATAAAAGCAATTGTTTCGAAATGGGATGATTTATTATGTAGAAAATAAAGAAAATAGACACATGGAATGAAAACACAAACGCAGGAAGTTACATCCACGACTTTCATTTATTCTTAAAACAATCTTCAGAGCCCTCCCGCCCCCCGCGAATCTTAATACTTAAAAAATGTGACTTTAAAATATGCTTGGTAAAACTCGTTTTTGGAGGATGATCGAATAGCAGCATTTTAATATTAGGATTCTATTTGTCTACAGCTTCATCCATCCTGGCACGCTTGGTGCCATTTTTTTTACCCTCTGCAGAATGCTTTCGTTTCTTTTGTGGTGCCTGAAATTCGTATTTCTAATATATAGAATATGAAATACTATCACTTCAGTTAATATACATAATAAAAGTATACTGAGAACTGTTAATGTCAAACATTTTTTGTATATACACGTTCCAAAATCATTTTGCCGAAAATATTCTGCATTTCTTTCATGTGAAGACTTAGGTGAATTTCATACTTCCTCTTTTTAAAATGTCAGTCAGAAATACAATCTTTTTTGCCATCATAAACTTCTGCATAACTTTTAATATGTACATGTATATCAATCATATCTGAATGATTATTGGAGGATTTATATGTACCTTATCATCATCGTCATCATCGATGTTCTCTTCTTCCATTTCATCATCCATATCATCAAATTCTTCCATGTGTGTACCTAAAAAATGAAATTAATAGGAAATCGTTTACTTTTCACTCAAATATTTTTTGTAACTTTTCTATGAAATAATGAAATGTCTTTGAACACATTAATATTAAGATACATATCTCTTCTCTTTGAAGAAAATTAAAGTACTGGGCTCTTATTTGTTTGCGCATATAACTCAAAATTGAAAACTTTACCACATGTTTTAAAAGGCGTCCCGTTACAATTATCGCCCTTCTATATGTACCTTTTACGTAAGCACAGTAAAATACTCCAAATTCTATTACGTTAATATGCTAATGTTTACTATAAAATTAATGTTCAATGCCCATAAATAATAAAAAATTAAAAATATGCATAACTATGATGAATTGATATCAATAGATGGTAGAAATTCTTACCAAGAAGGTTATGCCCTATTATGTGTACAGGACCACTGCCTTTAACCAAAGTAAATGTGACGGGAGGGTCGGGAAAACTAAGATCCAGAATAATCTGTGCTGTTTTTCCCATCTCCAATAGAGCAATTGGTATTTTAATGGGCCCTATCAATCCCCTAGCTTCTACCTGCAGCACATTGAGCTCTCCAGGTTTAGCTTCAGGACCTAAAAGTGCCTATGAAAAATTAACAAAACCAATTCAAAATTAAGCTTCGTTTGAAACACACATTCTAGATTATCCAAAAATAACAGTATGAAAAAAAACTAAATTCCTCAAACATATATAAAAAAACGATTGAAAATAAGATTTAAAATACACACTATATGATAAATGTCTTATTATTCATGATGAAGTAATAGATTCGCATTTATTTGTAAACATTTTAACATTTTGCTCCATTCCTAATTAATATGTACAGACTCAGTGTGCTCAAGAACCAATACCAAACATTCTCAGCATTTTATTTCTCGAAAATTCGAAAACTAAAAGAAGATAACCTAATTTACGAGGACAAAGAATACAGGCTATGGTAAAGTCCAATATGTTAGTTTGGTATCAGGGTTAAAAATTCGCGCGCAAACGTAATGAGACGTGATGAAAGCGCTCGAAAAATCGGGATTACCAGTGACGCCAAATATCGGTCATATATTCTTACACGGTTAATAGAACAACGAACAAAGAGCCGCTATGATTCGTAAAAGCTCAAGAACATTAGAGTCAAATAAATCCAGCTTATATACATCGTTATATCAGAGAGAAAAACTGTTGCCAATGAGATCGCGCGTCAACGAAAATCCGCCACTTGTAACGGAAAACAATGGAAATACAGCAGAATGTTCGTGGCATGCTAAAAAGCAATATAACACGAAAGTTACTCCTAAACATTATCTCATCAATAATTCGCACATACCATTTTTATGATAAGCTTCTGATCGGCACCGAAATGTTGGTTCGTGCCGTCTGCATCGTCGTTCTTGTGCTCTGGATCCCATACCTCGCTAGAATTGGCTCCTTCGAGAGTGATTCCTGGACACACAAATCACAAGAGTACGCACATGGAATAGCGTGAACGCTTGCCGTTATATTATAGATAGATAAAAAACGTAAGTTCGTAGCTCCTCAGGGACAATGGGGGCTCGTCACAATGGCCGAAAGCCAGCCGGCGTCTCGACCATAATACCGCTCGCGTCCAATGGCCACTGACGGCGAAAGTAACGGCGTGTGTCGTAAAATAAAGAAGCCACAATGTTCACGGTAACACGGCCGCTGATATTTACCGTAAAGATACTCTTCTGCCATGATGATCGACTTGATATTAAGGGATTCTCGTTAGTGGATGTATAGAAGAAGTCCGTTGGAGTGTGCGTGCCGAATGAGAATGGAGAAGCTAAAGACGCCGCGCGCACAACGGTCACTGCGCGAAGAACAGTGGTCGCACGTGCTAGACGAACGCGTAGCAAATGAGTTTCGCGTACTCAGCCTTGCGCGCCTAGAATACGTTCTCTTCTTTGATTGGTTAGCTACCGTATGCAACGTTGCCGTTCGATGTCTCGAAACATCACTGAAGTCTTTACGAAGGGTGTTATTTAGCCCCCTATATTAGGTTAATTACGAAAGAAATGAATAAAAATGAAAAGAAATCCCTTTAATTCGAAAGACTAGAATTTCCATAAGATAAGAAATTAAAAAATTATTGAATACAATCGAAGATTAGCGCCGAGACGAATTTAGACACGAACCCTGTACATTGGTTACTCATCATTGTAAATATTTGACAAAAATGTAAATGATTTTACCAATAGTAAGTCATTGAAAAGCTAATATTAATACTATGATACTTAAAAAACAAAACAATACTGTTTTAAAATATTAGTTCTTAAAGTTGTGCAACTATACTTTGCAAATGAATGAAAACATGAAATAGTGCTGATATAAATTTCAAAAGTATAAGTCTTGTTTTATATTACATAAAGCGATGGTTAATAATCATATAGTAATGAGTAATATTACAAACTGAATGAAAAGTTTGGCAACGATGCGCTGAACGACTATTGGTCTGCGTAAGCGTTGACGGTAAAAACATGAAACTAGCACCGCTACATTGACTGTATAAATATCGGACGCAACACGCAAATAATACTTAAATTGAAGAAATTTCCAATGAAAGAGTTACATAAAAAAATCACAGAAATATTTTAATACAGTCGACAAAAATTTCTTAAATAATTGTAAACGATTTTACAAAAATCATCAGCGTATCTTGAGAAAAGTTGTAGCCCTTGGTCGACAGGAACTCGACAGAATGCAACCCGATACAATTATTCTAACTTGTTTACTTTTGTTACCGGTAATATCCGGTAACACGGAAAAAAATAAAACAACATTTGTACCAACCCGAGAATGGCAAACGGTAAAAAAAGGTAAGTAAATATTTATTCAATTTTCTACGAACAAATGCTTGGGACTACTTTTTTACGCAACTGATTGTTCTGCTCCTAAGACCACGTCAGTCAAATCTGACATCGTAGTTTTCTCGAGAACAAATTATTATATTTCGTGTCACTGTTTAAATACGACATTACCGATTCTGTAAAAAATTACCCTTAAAATTTTTTATTTATGTTATTTTGAAATATATCAAATATATTAGAATATGACATAGTATGAATTATATACAACAGTAACGTACGCCGAAATGTATTTAAAGGTGCTAACGAAAAAGTTTAATAACATTGATTTTATAATTTGTTCATTCGTAAGAAAAATGTAATTTATGCTTTTGTTGCATCAGCAGTATTTAATGAATGTTTTATTAGGTACACTTTTACCTGAGGGGCTACATGTGAGACACAATTTTCAAACTGGAGTAACGGAAGCTAAATTAATGGATAGCGAAGAGGTAGAAGAAAAACATTCTACTGAAAATTCAAATGACTTACAATCAAATTCTTTGACACTACATCCCGAGAAAGCAGTTTTTGAAGATAAAGATTCTCCTGTAACTACGGAAAAACCCGACTTGTTTGAACATCCAATAAAGGAATTAAAGGCTAGATTAAAGAAGATTAAGCAAGATAGTGCAGAGAACATACCAGAATTAAATGTAATTATTTTTACTCTTGTGGTATAGATATAGTGTAAGAGTAAATTTTCTATTTAAATTGTGTTTTCAGGATGAACATGCTCAACAAATAAAGCAGAAGTTTCGTGACTATGAAACATTAAAGAAAGAGCTTAAAGCACTCGAAATAAACATTACAACTGACTCAGAGTTGTTAAGTAATTATTTTCAAAAGTTTCAAACCCATAAAAATGCAATTGCTATGGGAACTATATCACTAATAGAAGTTGAAGAAGTTTTAGATATTTTGCATAATTTAGAATATTTACTTCATCATATTGATAATGCCAAAACATTTACAGATATGGAAGGGTAGGTATGAAAATTATAGATTTGGAATGATGTTACAAAAATTTACATAATTCATGTTTCAATTTCAGCATGACTAAAATTGTATCTCCATGCCTTAATGGAACAAATAATGAAATAAAAGCTGAAGCTTTAAGGCTCCTTGGTGCAGCAGTTCAGTCTAATCCTCAAGTACAATTAAAAGCATTGGAAAATGATCTTGTTCAAAAGATTTTATATATATTATCTACAAATACTAAACTAGAAGTGAAGTCAAGGTGTCTCTTTGCATTGAGTGCCTTAATAAGACAATTTCCGGCAGCTCAGAAAGTTTGGATTGATCATGGAGGAGTAGAAATATTTGGAAAGATTTTAGTTGATGATCAGTTGCAAGTACAAATAAAAGTTATGAAGCTGATCAATGACTTAATTATTGAGAGACAAAATATAGAAGAAATTACTGATGCTAAACAAAGGCAAATGAGAGAAACAGCATATGCAGCTGCAGATATAGAAAAGAAAGTATTAATATATGAGTACTGTAAACATTTGAGTAATCTGATGGTGAAGAGTGTTAAGGAAGAGGTTAGCGATGAATTAATAAACGATGAATTTCTCGAGATCATCTCCGAAAGTATGACTACTATTACTCCAATTTGTATAAACCAGTTCAGAGAAACAAAAGATGAATTATTACCCGCTGTAAAGCGTTTATCGAACTCTTATCAAATTTTAAATGTACTGGTTGAAAAACTTCAAACAGTCGAAAACAATCGTGATGAATTATAAGTAGTTAATATAAAGTATGAGTGACTGAATGTTCGTGAAAGAGTTCTGGAATTTTAATTTATTTTACAAAGTCATAATCGTATAAAATATAACGCGTAATGAAACTCCTCTAGGCATAGATACTTTGAATATCGCTTGTTGATATTGCACAAAGACTGTGGGTAGATATATACATAAGCGGTAACGAGTGTGTTGCCAATTTTAATAAATTAATATACAGTGTATTATACAACGAGTGTGAGTGCGTGTAAATTAAAGAAAAAAATATTATGTACTCTCTGTATATATGTATAGTATATAAGGTGCTTGAGTTACCTGTTCAGTAAAGGTAAAGAACTGTTATGTTTCTTATGTTCTAAGAAGATTGTTTAATAAATTATTTTGTACTATTCTCATCTGTGTTGGTTTTTTTAAAACGGGAAATAATACCAAGATACCAGAACCTGTTTTATAGAATAACATACTTTATTTACAAATTATAATGATTATATATGAACAATCTGTTTAGTCATAGTTTATAGAAAATATACTTGCCAAATTGCTGATTTAACCAGCTTCATAAGTATAGAACCTTTATTTACACATGCTCGAAGAGAATACCTCATGCGTCAAGTGTTTTGTTGGTGAAAGAATACCTTGTTTTCTTTAAGTACAAGGATTACATTGGTTTTTGTGCGATTCATTAAATACGCACCTTTGAATAATACATGAGACTATGGAGAACAAATGGATCTCCTTTAGGTCAATGACTCGCTTAATCCGTAATCTTGCAACTTTTCTAAAATACTTAATTTTACACGACTTTTCAGATTTTATTAAATATAATATCTATATCTACATACCAATTTTACAGACTTTACATGACATTTTACTGGATTATTTTTTTCGCGATCTGACATATAAATTTTGTATGTTTACCTGTAATCATTTTTTTCTTTTACTTCCACGATAAAATAGTAAATTCGATTCATTATTTACAAGACTGTGTAGGAACTTAAAATATACATCTGTCGTTTCGGAGTACGCGTGTCGGCTAAACTGACATCCTGTGTGTAATTTACAAAATCTTTCTTCTTTTTCAGACACTGAGTAAGGAAGCATAAACATTATATACAACATGATTCGATTCATAACGCGAGAGTCATATGTTAATACTAGATTCACACATGGAACTTCTGCATAACAAAGTTAAAGAGTGTTGATATCTCAGAAACGGAATCGTTTCTTTACATATTTTCGATAGTTTATCATGTATAAACTATGCAATTGTTTATAACAATATCAATATCTCAAGTATAAATTCGTAATACCAAAGTGCCAATAACATGATTCTTAGTAAACAATCGGAAAATATAAAAATAATTTGTATACATACTTCTTTTTATTCTTTCACTTCTGCTCTCAAAAAAACAAAAGCAACGTATTATAAAAAGAGGTCGATCATTAAAAAGGTACCTGCGCTCGCGTACAACGTAAACTTCCTTTAGCCGATTTGAAAAAGAAAGAAAATACTATATTCGCGCAGCGTTCGAAATCATAGTTCCTCGTTCTCACCGTCTCACGACGTACATTCACCTTCATTGAGCAACAAGTATTACACGGTACAACTCTTCTTCTTTTATGGCAAACTCGAATTAGTGTCTTGGCACGTACCGACATTCTAACCTTAAAAAAATCTATGCTCGGTACGTGCCACCATTGGTTCGACCAAAACAAGCTACTCCTAGTCACAAAGGAGCGTCAAAAGTGCCATCACGAGAATACCGGACAATAACGCGGCCAACTGCTTCAAAGATTCCTTTGGACAAGGTTCCTTAAGCAATTCAGGCAAGATGGTTACCAGTCCAATATGCAAAAAGCCACCCGATGTGAAAGGCAATATCCAACTTGTTTTTGCACCTGGAAAGCAATGTCTTCGTTAAATACTGATACCCATTTAATATAATTTGATAAAATTATAATTATACCTACCCACTTCACCGCCAGAAAAACATACTGCAGTCATGGCGCCAAAAATGCCACCGGTAGCAGTGAGAAGCTGCGCCCGCGCAGCATCCCATCTGTTGAATCCACTGCGTAGCAGAATAGCGAAGTCACCAACTTCATGAGGTATCTCGTGTATGAGAATAGCAAAAGTAGTAAGAACTCCCAAACGGAAGGAAACCAGGAAAGAACCACCCACGGCCAAGCCATGAGTGAAGTTGTCTATGATATTGGCTACTAGATTAAGGTAACCGGTTATGTGTTTAGGTTTGTCTGTCGCAGTTTTTATGTCCGTAGGCACGTTACTCTTGGACGACTTGATCGAAAAGCCGTTGCTTTTCGCCAATTTCTTCAAGCAATCTTTTGCGTCGCTTAACAACAAACCTTCCAAAGTATTTGAGAACTTGGTGCACATTAGTTCTGGCTTGATACCGTTGGTAACAAAGCCGTTCTTGTGAGTATCTTTGTAACCATTCGACAGGTGAGAGTAGCCGTTCTTCTTCTCCAAAAACGGCTGCAACTGTAAAGAAAATAGGCATAAATTTTTTGTTGAACTTACTGAGTCTTGTCATATCTTTTGAGATCTAAATGTTACCTCATTCATAGCCTTTGTGAAATCAGTCTTTGTGTTAGAGAAACCATTTTTCGGATTCCCTCCTATTAACGTGATACAATTGTTGTTCTCCATTTCCTTCTCGTCTTCGATGCTGGTCTCTTCGTGTACTTCAGTCCCCTTCGCAGACGCATCTTCGGGCTCTTCTTCCACCTCGAAGCCAAACAGCTTTTCCGCTATGACGAATACTAGGAAGCCAGTAAGTACCCACATGCCACAAGTCATCGACGGATGTCCATTTTCGGTTACTGAAACGTTAAACAATTTCTAATTATTACTCATGTTAGCATCTTCTGCAAGAGAAATTTTTAAGCGTATCACACGAATGAACCAGATAACTCGAAAACCGAATGCGAACTAGAAGAATCGAGCCGATTTAATTTAAGAGAGGATAACTGGCAATTGAAATCCGCAACTGAGGCACAATGGAGTTTCAGAGCGTCGCTTGAACCGTTCATAAAGAGCTCGATGATGGCTGAAGATCGCTTGGAGTCTAGCATGCAAGATACTACTATTTCATATTGTATGAATTAATTTAAATATGAAAAATAAAATCTTCCAAAACTATACTGAATACGTATTTTTTTTTAGTAGATATGATTGCATCGATTTCTTAATATTTTAAGTTGATAAAGAGGGACTTTCCGGGTTGCATCGTTCAAGGCTTCATTAACCCTGTGACACTCTTGCCGCTTCTTCGAGTCACATATTTACGTTTCATTGTTATGTAATTTGTTATGACAATTACGCAGTGTTTCTTAATAATTAGTTCGAGATTGAACCAATTATTCTCTATAGGCTAAACGATTCTTGAAACTTCTAGTTTTATGAACAGCAATTTAATATAAACGAGAGGTTTCTAAATTTTATAGTTTGAAAATTTGTACAAGTCCATTTTTGTCTATCACTGCGTTAAAAGGCTATTCATCGAGCTGCCTTATGCCACTGGAATAAGTAATAACTTATTTACGAAGCTTCAAGCTATCGATTTGCGATTATTATCTACAAGGTCCCACAACGAAAGGGTAACTCGCAGTCAAGAACATCAGTAACCATCCTTGAAAATTTCGCTGAAAACAAAGGACTACCAGAATTTTCTTCGGAGTTCATTGGTAATTATTTATTATCAAACGTGACTCACGGTTCACACTGAATCACAAAACGGCTCTGTTGCCACTTCGTGTTAACGGTATTGCAAGCAAGGGCGAACCACTAGTTGCTAATACCTTCTATCTCCATTTCCTCCGATTAAACGCGTTTCCTTCTGGCGAATCGCGAGAGGCATCCGATCCTCCACTATTTTCGTACCTTTATTCATTGAACTGTTCTCCCATGCTTCCGGTAGAAGGTGGAGGAAAACGTCGCCCAAAAGACCACCGACTGCGAAGCTCAGTAATACTTTCAGCGTGCCAGCGCTTGCTGCAACAGAGAAATACAATGAAGTTAGATTCAGGATTAACAGTACATCGCGTTGCTCGAGGATTTAAAATTCGGTCGTTAACCTTTTACATTGGCGAAGCAAAGAGACTGCTTGGGTTATTGCGGCAACTCGAATGATGACTGAAAGACGACAATTACTGTTTTATCAACAGACATCTTTCTTCTTTATATTCTAAATGCTTACAACTATTGTCTATGAGCACTTTGTTACACAGCTCCGTGTTTAACATCGTTATTTTACATTTACTTTGTTCGTTTTTTATTGTTCCACGATGGCGACATCCGGTTGATGTTTCATATTATGCGCGGCAGCATCAGGACGAAAACATTTTTCCTGCTGTACGCACTGTACCCGGAAAATTGCTCCATCATGAAATTTTTGCAATCAATGACTCTATTTGTTCCAATTTTCCTGCATCGCGTGTGCGACGTAATTTGCTTTTCTTATGACTCGTTCACATTCTATCACTTAAAACGAAGTATACGGTCAAGATTTATGTCGACTGAATAAAAGATTTCCTTGTGGAACTGTAAAGGTCTGCGGGAGATTGCAACTATTTTTCGCGAAAGGTCATCGCATCGAGAAAATTCTAGAGTTTATTGAACCGCCTCGAATAGACATTTATCTTTATAGAATTAACGGCGGTCGTAATTGTGTCCGATTATTGCCATCGTACGAGTAAATTAGCCGGGAATATGTACGACTATCTTTCTGAGACTCTCTACACTTCGCAGCTAAAAGTTCTCACTTTCATTTCGGGCGGACTTTAACGACTGCTCCAAAGAATTTTTCGATGCACAAGCGGCCATAAATTGTTCATTAAGAATGCATTCAACGTTCTTAATACTTCATTTAATAATCTACTCCACAAAAAGTGGATCAAGGTCTCCCGTCTCGGCGCATCAGAATGAACACGCATTTTTCCCTTCCAACTTTCATCTTACAAGTTTTACGAAATAATCCGGAATTTTCTGAATGTACTCGAAATCGAGATTCAACTAATCGCGAAAAATACCCGGCTCTACATACAGATAGTACATTCGACGTAATCAACAACAATCTGCTAATACAATAATCTCCGTAATTGGCGGCTGGTTGCTATCCGCGAAAGATATCATCTAATCGTACGAAACGATAGGGAGAATGGCTTTCGATTATTTTCTTTTCAAGTACATCGAGAATTAGACCGCTTTATTTCTTTATTCCATTTGATCCCTTTATTGTCACGTTTGATGCTCCAAATCATTGAACTGCAATGACCGCGTGGACAATTACCGATATCTATTTTAAAGTCAATAAAGAGTCATACGTTGCGAGCACCGATAACGAAATGTGATTGATTTAACATGGATGACCAATGTCATTAGAGCGACCATTCTAGGGTAAAGTGGCGTAGGTGTTCGATTGAAATACGACTGAAATATAGGATAGAAGTATCAAGTTGACTGGGTCGCGATTTAATATGATCACCTTCTACCCGAAGAAGTGTCGAAATCAATCGTCAGTGAAATTGTTGGCGCCAGGCAATTTCGCTTAGAAATTTATCGACAATTCGCAGGAGAACCGAATTATCGGCCACGTTGATATTTCTTATCGTATGTACAATTCGGTATTATTTGGGCTTTCTTTTAGCTTGGGGGAATTGTAGCGTATGTTGAAATACATGACGCACATGGTGCGTCTTCATTTAAATAGTACATAACGCACCTGGTGCGTCTTCACTGAAATAGTACAGGACGCACCCGGTGCGTCTTCATTAAAATAGTACATGACACACACGGTGCGTCTTCATTGAAAAAGAACGTGACACACCTGGTGCGTCTTCATTGAAATAGTACAAGACACACCCGGTGCGTCTTCATTAAAATAGTACATGACGCACCTGCTGCGTCTTCATTGAAATAGTGCAGGACGAACCTGATGCGTCTTCATTAAAATAGTACATGACACACCTGGTGCGTCTTCATTGAAATAGTACAGGACGCACCCGGTGCGTCTTCATTAAAATAGTATATGTCACACCTGGTGCGTCTTCATTGAAAAAGTACATGACACACCCGGTGCGTCTTCATTGAAATAGTACAGTACGCACCCGGTGCGTCTTCATATAAAAAGACACAAGACTCCACATGTCAGCAATAAATCGATCAAGAGATAACTGTCCAAAGATCACCATAAACAATAATATTAAACATTAGATTTTTGTAACTATAGTTCACGTATAAACATACTGTTTGATAATATAGAATCAAGTCGTGTTTTCCCCTCACGGAATCGCGAACCTTGCACCGACCTCGTGATCAACACGACAGATCAATAAATCTTGCATTGGTCTCGATGCTTTCAACACGAGGCAATGTTTATACATTGCACACGACCCACAATTACTACAATATATAAAACATGTCAATCCTTTCTTAAAATAATACGAAAAAGTTGGGTGAACGGGTATTTACGATTGAAACGTAAAAGAGTTGTGACATCGCGTTTCCGTGTACAAAAGCGACACAATAAGTCATTAGGAACAAAAGTGACGATGACACATTAGCGATAAACTGGATGCAACGGAAAAACCATTTCTCTGTTTCATTTACACCCACAAATGATTAAACGAACCGTATCGAATTACGAGTGTTTTTGCCATGCAACTTGATGGCATTTTTCAGTATTCAACTGTAATTAAGTACTTGATTTTCCTTTTTAATGATGCAACTTTGATGGCTCTTGAGTATTTGATTATGAAACTCTTCATGAATATTTCTGCATATCTTCAGATCTCTATAGTTTCCCTAGGTTTTTGTACCCGTTTTTGTACTACAAGTTCAGAATGGACCAGTGCAATTTTTGTGGAGGTCAGTTACCAAATTGTGAAACGTCCTGTACATAAAATATTGTCACCAAAAAAACTTATAGAGATAAATGTCTGTACAAAACTGTCTGCAGAAAAGATTATAGGAATATTGTCTATATTTCTATGAATGAATTTCGTTGAATCACCAAATTTGAAACAACGTGTATGCAAAACAGATTCATGAACAGTTCAAACGAGGAAATGCTTGCAAAACAAGTACACGAAGGAAACGAGCGTGACCACCGATAAATCTGTGTTATCTTCAATGATGAGCTCCCGAATTGCAGCGCGCGTTGATAAGTCGCAGGATAATTAGAAGCAAGCGTCATTGAATTTACGTTCCTATGGCACCTTGTTTTCTAGCGAATAGCGAGTCTCGAATGCAATTCTTAGAATCGTTTGCGGATCGAATTTAAACATTTTTCATGACGAAACAGCGTAACATTATTGCACTCTGCATTCTCTTTGTCATTAAACGTGTTTGCTACTACGCTGCACGCGTATTATCATAATTAATCCTTTTGCAAATATTTTCTTGCTGTTCTTTAAAAATAATACAAAACAGAGGCTGGTACAGAAGTGCTATTATCGCGCGGCTTCAATGCAAACGAGATAAATTTGCATCGCTGATAATTTGTTTGAATCCTAGATTTATCTGGCCTCGTTGATTATACGTATATTTTTAGCATCGAGTTAATTAAAACGATGATCAAGTTATTTCATTAAGTGTTCGGCGATTAGACAAGAATTTAATTCAAAATTTTTTATTTTTTTAAAGCTGAAAACATAATCCGAAATAAAGTTGAAATTTTTCTTTGATTCAGTACTCGAAATACTTGAGATAATGATGAGATTGCAGAAGCATTGCTTAAGCAACAATTTTAGGAGAAATGTACAAAACAGGACGACAAAATGGCTACAAAATTATCGATTTGACAACATCGATCAACATTATCAACATCGATCATTCTGATATCATTGTTTCGTTTATTTTCCATTGCTGCTTATCGAAAATTTATTGCCAAACTGTTCAGACTGTTGATTATATAGAAAAAATGCACAATGTGATGAAATTACAAATACGATCATGGACAGTGTGACTCAACTAATAAATCAAGTTTTTCGTAATAGTTTTTGAAATTTGCAAAAGAATTTAATTACTCCGTAATGCTTCGTTATAACTCGAATTCCTATAGCATTATCGTGTTCTCTGTTTCACGCAGCTGATCACAGTTCAGCTTCCGAGAGGCTCGAATGGAGAATGCATCGAAACGAGTGTCGTGGGTAGCAGAACGAGACAAGCTTGATAATAGACTCTAGAACAGTCGGTGTCTCTGAGAGAGAGAAACGCCATTTGATGCGCCATCCGTTACGCCATTTCCAGATTCGTCCTGAATCGATGTAACTTAATCCATTTTTACGTAAAATTAAAGTATAAAAGACCGTGGAGGCGTAACGATTGCACTTTGTTCAAACACCTGATGCCCCAGTTTCAATCAGGAAATGCCACATCCCCAATTTCGAATGCTACATCTCGAATTTCTCTGAACATCGAGTGTTTCAGCTGAGATACATAAATAGACCTGATGCAAATCAGTTTTCACATATAGAAGCTTGAGAATTAAAATTTTCCATGCATTCATTTTTGCAATTTTCCACTTTCCTAATTTATAAACCAATTTATTACCAAGTTTTTAAATTTTTCCAATATTACTGTAATTCAAGTCGCATAGAAAGTACAATCTAATCGAAAATCATCTTACGTTGCATCACCGATTTATGCTTTCGCAATTTAAATGGGATACTTTGCTTAATCCTGCACCACGATACGAGCATCGAAACAGCAACCAACGAACACCATCACGAAGAAGGTCGATGACCAAACACGGTGCTGCAGCTGTCGAAGAACGAACAGAGAAACGATTCACGTGTTTCAATAAAGAGAAAAACCAAAGAGAGAGGCATATAGGTCTCATTTGACTTGCAAACGAGGGAAACAATTAATAGCGTGGGGTAAAAATAATCTGTCACGATACGGGCAACGATTTAATCCTTTCGCTGTCCTCGACGTATATATACGACGGTGGAAACAGACTGCCAACTACCGATACGCGGCTTATCAATTTAAACGCTGAGTTAGTATTTGGTTGGAACTCGATTCTTTTTAATTGTCATATCTCTGAAATCGTTAATCAAGTTTTGCCACCGGTAGCCATCAATTATTTTAATGTCGATGATTATGTTAAAATAATTTCGATATCGACTTCATATGACCACTGATCCTTTTCCAGTTATATAAATTTTAAATTGTTCTATTTTTTTTGTACAAATAATCGTGTCACGCAAAATGTCCCGTGAAATGTTAAACTGCGTTTGCAGTTTGTTTAAACGTCCTCGACCTTATCGATCCTTTGAAGAAAATTCTAGAAGAATTTCCGTCGATACTGCAACGTGACGCACGTTTAACGGAACCACGAAAGCGAAAACTGTCCGAACGTTTTCGACAAAAAGGTAGAGGCAAGGAACCGTATCGATTTATTTCACAAGTTCCCCCCTGCATCTCCAGATGCGATCGAAGGATCCAACAAAAGCCAGGTGTAGATAATGCACCTTTATCCTCCGAGATTTCGACCACCCTTAGGGGTGCTATTTCTACCGTGCTTCGTTCGAAACTTCGGTAAAAACTTTCGAAAGTTAATGCGACACGGGTTCCAATAACCACACATAATTTTTGCGCCAACAGGAAACGCATTTGAATGAAAAGAATGAACGAAAGTATTTACGACTGAAATAACTCGTTACACAGGTTTTATGAACCACGTAACAAAGAAAACAGTTACGTAGGCAAATTACTTCATCGAGCGAAGAAATAAATTTTCTGTATGAAATATTTTACGATACTCCTTTATTAGAACGCTGGTGTAATTTTTCTTTTGCGTTGATTTCTAGCTTCACTATTACATTTTATGCTAAGTAGCTTTTGAATATTTTGGAGTATGCGTATTTTTGAAAGCTGAGAGTTTAAGAGTTTGATTCGAGAATTTGGAGGGGAGTCCCTAGTTACGCCAATGCAGAACAGTTACAATTATGACCGAGTGCATCTCGTTGCAAGGCGCCCTTGAATTCACGCGTTAGTTAAAAACGATGTTACGTACATTCTGTCCTCCCACGTACGAATTGGAAATTTCATTCGTATTCTCCATTGTGTCCAACAAGTTCCACGACCTTCGAGTTTCCCTGTGGCATACTATACACGTGGACATCACGCGTGGAGTCAAACGTTCACACCTTCGGAAAACGCAATACAAAAAATGTGTAATTTACATGAGAATACACCTGATTCTAGTACAATTCAAGACCAATTTCTCCAAACGAAGGAGAACATTCGATGAGACAAATTGGGCCAAAATGAGGATCAGAATTTCTCGTTCGTGATCAGAGTACATAAAAAATAGCTGTTCCTTTCTTCTAGAAGTTTCAGTACGTTGACGTTACACGCTTAAGAACTAGTTGCACGACCTTGCAATCACGTTGACGTGGAACAATGTGTCACGAATTAACGCGAATCACGAATTCTAACACGATTCGCGCAGTGGATCTTGCAGTTTTGGTCGTGTTCAAGACATTCGTGTCGAATGCAATCAACAATGAGAGAAAAATAGCATTGCTGTTAATTATATTCGAAATGAATGCATCACCCTTGCTCGTTAGACAGCTGATCGCATAATCTATCGACACAATCGATTGACACTATGCAAAACCAATTAAAATTGTGACTGTCTCGAATATTTACAATATCGGATGCTAACTTTTGAAAATGGTTGACCAGAAAACTATACACGAACGATAACTAATGTGACGACCAGAGAGAATATTTGTACATGCATACATCGGAGCAAACTATCTTAAAACCTAACTCAAATGTTAATCGAACCTGAGTTTCCAAAACCTGTCGACTTCTGATCAATTTGTGACAAATATTAAAAAATATGCATAGTAGTTTTGCCAAGAAATTAATTTTCCAGGACCTTTTGCGTTTCAGTCTTTTCTTCGAATATGCAATAAACATCGTCGTAAATATTCTGGCTCGATTCGAAATGTTTTCCGCTAAGAGACAAGATTACACTTCGGGAGAAGACGCTGGCACGACGCATCACGATGAACAATGTGCGCAGCAGAATTGGTCCCATATGGGCCAAACGCGTTTCTTTTAAAGCGCCGGTGGATCCTACCTGACGTAACAACGTGCCATTATTTTTATCTCGTTCACGGTACCGCGTATAATTTCGCGTGCACGAAATCGCGAAACCATCAAGAAGAATGAGCAAGTGAACCGCAACACTGGCCAACGCAACGACGTTCATTTCTAAAAATGGACAGTTTAACCCATTTATGGAACGCTGTTGCGTTAACGCAATATTTCATATGCAATGTTTTCTCGCTACATTTATAACAATAAATTAACTGCAGATTCTCAAATTCACAATTTGTCTCCCAAGTTTTTGCATTTCTAACCCAACTTGCAGATTCAAAAATAAGTAAAAATTTATCATCTAAAAATCAGTGAATAGTGAGACCCTACGTCGCCATTTTCCTTAGGGAATTCTACCATGCAGTGTAACACTGAACAAGCAATAAGAACCCGGTGGGTCCAGGATGGTTTAATTTTGATTCGCAAACGCTGTTTCTTGTTACAATTTTAAACGAGGTTACCGTGAACGTACGTAGCGACAAAAAGTCACATGCAATAACTGAAACACTTTTTTGTCCCTTTGCCGAATAACTGGTTCGACGTAATGAAATCACGAGCGGATATGATAAAATCTAGTAATAAAATTTCCACGAGCGACGAAAATAATTTGCCGTCAATTAAATTCGCATTAATAACTGTTATTTTTACTGAAATTTTACAGTGATAAAATATTTGATCTCTATTGTAAAAGGTTCGCTACGCTAGTGCGAGTTTATTAAGTCGTTTAATAATTAATTGGTTCCAGCTGAATAAATAACAGTGTAAAAAGACTAACTCCAATCGAAAATCAATACGAAGTAAATCTGTAACGTTATATAATCTCCATGGAAATGTAAACATTGTTCAGAAATATTGATCCGCATTAATTCGGTATTAAAGTTAACTCTTAAGTTATTTGAGGAATAAAAGAACAGAACTATGAATGCTTCTATTGGAGCAATTAAAATGCACCGGTTTCTTTGAAATTTTATCGAACATAGTTATTCCACATCGAGTTTTTTGCGACAAAGGTTAACGCAGAACTTTAATCTACGAAATATAAAATTCAACGAGGAAAATCGTGAATAATTTTTGCAATCGCCGCATTATTTGAAAGAATTATCAATGTTAATTACTTTCTTGGAAACTAAGAATACGAAGCGTCGATAATCCATGACCTCAGTCTCGGAAATCATAGCGAACCCCTTCGTGCAAATATTTACGTCGCATTTCGGTGAAACTTTTGCGTAGAATCCGCAAGTCAACTAGATCGATTTTAACGATAACGCTAAATTTGAAAACGCCTTTGCACGGAACAGTAGCTGCGCAAGATAAGCATCGTCTGATAAACGTATAAATTGCATGGTATTAATTAAATCAATACAGAAATTAATTCAATGAAGTGTCCCGGTAAACGAAGAAATCGGGACTCAGATAATTGTAGTCGAAAACGATTTACTATTGGTACAAGAGATCATCGACTGTTATCGTGTACTTATCGTCAAGGAAACACGGTTTTACAAGACAACTATTAGTGTTCAGACTGACTGACATAATTTTGTACAGTACGTATAGAAAATTAATTTTATTTTTATCTTTCGATCGTGTCAAAGGATAGAAACAAAATTTCATCAAACGTTATCTACGTTCCGTACAAACAAATTGAAAAGGTGTATTGATTAATGGTTGGTTAAGTAACCGATCGGACGGAACAAACTAAAATTAGTACGAGATTAGATTACCGGATACTGTTCAAAATCCCGGAGAAAATGGCGATATAGTAGGAGGTCTATCCTATAGTTTCACTATATAACGCATAGAGATATTGCAAAACGGTAATATAATATGTGGCAACACAAAGCACGGCCATGTTATGCTAGCGATGTATCGTGTACTAGTATGTACTTCGCATGATGATATAAAGCTTGATTTAGACTTCTCTTGATTAAAAGACAAGGTAGAGAGAGGTCCGCCATTTTCCTTTGTCTTGCAGAATTCTTGCGCATAAAGAATACGAACATATAATCCGCATAGCAGGAAGTCCTTTCCTTACGTTTCTCCTTCGCTAAAACATCCTAATTCGCACGTGGCCACACAGGTCACCAGTACTAACCTATAGTGGGTTACATATTTCCCGCGTGCGCCTTAAAATGTATACATAACCTCCCTCTGAAAATCTTCGAGTTTCTTCGCAGTAGACATACACATGTACGGTACAGACTCACGCTAACGAAAAGATGACAACAACAATGACACAATGATGAAGATTTCAAATGCTGATTTAAAGAAAAAGCATTACCTCCTGTTTTTAAATTGGCGCCTTCCTCGATATTGGGGATGACCAGCAGAGGGAAGATGCCAGTTAATCCGATCATAGTACTACCGATCAAAGAAAACAGCCACGGAGTTTGTTCAAGATATTGTATCGTGGTTTCCCATGGTGTCCACATGTCCTCCGTGATCATTTCATATAGAAATTCGAAGGAGTCGGTACAATTCTGTTGAGTGCACATGTTTGCCGCCATGTTTGTGCGTTGCTTATCGAACACTTTCGCTTGTCAAAAATTAAGCGCTTCGGTCCTTTTCCCGATAATCTTCTCAAAGTATATTGGTGCTCTTTACGAGATTGGTACGGATGCAATGACCGTACAGTCACTATTAGTCCCTATTATATTTAGTCACAGTTTGTTTATCTTAAGACAACCCCTCGTTGGTATCGGAACTCCGAAGGTACAATTGTATCTTAATCCTGGTTAGTAATACAGAAATGGCACTTACGCAGGTCAAACTTTTCAGAGATAAAGATCTCGTTTATCACGAGAAAAATACTGATACTAAGAATGAGCGTTTGGGAAATCGTCGAGACGACAAACCGAGCGCCCGACTAACCTACACTGAGGATTGAGTACGGACGCTACAAATCAGACGGTCGCCGCCTCTACCGTTGTCGGTTTCGTCGATCAAATCAAGCCTTTTGTTATTTCATACCGTGGCAATGCAAGATACAAGAATGCCAAGAACAGATCATCGACAATAAACGTGCTAAAATAATTGTAACGGCACGAGATCAAATCTAATTGTGTTTCAATCGTTTTTCCGTCTTTTATACTGTTACTGTTGTGATTTTTTACCGTTAAACTTCTGCTGGTCATTCGACGCGATAGTATCTCATACCATCGAGATAAGAACACAATTGTCAGTGACGTTCGTCCCTCGAATCATCAGCCGGTTTTTTCCTTCGTATCGTTGATTGTTAACGAATTTGTACACTTTTTTCGTGAATATATTGCGGTCACTTTTACCCGCCACAAATGATAAACACGATTGCACAACGACACAGAACGTACTTCAAGTCGTTCCGGATCTCCTCGGTTTGTGTTCTTCGTCTATTCTTGGTTATGTACGTTTTGGATTCGACGTGTTTTCGTGCGAACAAGTGTAGAGTACACTGATCAACGATCAGAGACGCGTTGCGTTTACTTTCTTGAATGTTTCGCTTGACTTTTTGGTTAAGAAACAGCATGCAATCTCACACGATCAGCACATCGACGCAACGGTTAATGCGCGTTACTACCATGGCGATCCCTTTTTATAGCTACCGAAGCGCTCCGTCAGGTTGCTGCACATGTAAGTGAAAAGTGGAATTGTGGATGACAGGGAAAAATACAGACCGAATGATAAAAGCGGGAGAAAACCGAGAACGAATCAAAAATAATTTTCATACAAGAATCAATTGCTTTCGAGTACCAGATAAGAATAGAGATATTAGAAGCGAACAAAGAAGTTATAAATAGAAAGAAATTTCAACTTCGATTCAATTGTTACCGAGCGCTGAAATCGATAGAGGCGCTACTGTGCTTTTTTGCAAGCTTTTTATTTATTCTCTACCTTTGTAAGTAGATTTTGTAAGTAAAAATTATTTGAATGTTAATGAATATATTTTTTTCGATGAAGTTAAATTTTAATTTTGTACATAATAAATTTCAACGATATGCGATTCATTTGCAGCGAGATTTAGCATTTTTATCGCGACACTTCTGTGTATTATCTGTTAATATATCTTGTTGGCAAAGATAAAAAAATATTACCGACCATTGTGAAGGGATTGAAAATTATAAAGATAATTGTGTGATGCAAGTCTATTCAGAGTGAAATGAACTGTATTCTTTGAAGAGGCTTCTCTATTGGACCAAGATACTGAAGATATGAATTCTTTGAATTATCTTTCTTACAACTAACAATCATCACTAAGTGATATAGTGTACGATTTACAACTAACTAATTTGCGAAGAAATTACTCAGAACTATAGATAAAAATGAAGTTAATACGCTGAAAATATTGTGCGATATTTATATGTTTATTAATTTTGTCGACGCAAGTTTAAAAACTAGATCATTGGCGCCACCTAATGGGAAACGACAAAATGATAAAAAATTCTATTTTTTTTAAACGGTGGGGTTATTTGAGTGAAAATAAAATTGTAGAATCTGAGCAGCACTCAAAATTACCTTGTTTTTAAAAAAAAAAAGGTAATTTTTCTTTCATTAATTTTGGCGCTTGCTACTAGATGGCGAAAGTAGTGTTATGTCTAAAACGCGGGCTGATATAAAATTAATAAGTACACACAAAATAGTTTGTGCAATATTTTTAGCCTTATCAGTTACTATGTGACAGTTTGATGCTGCAACCTTGGCACAAGTGCAACATAAATAATTAAGAATCTTTTATAGACATTTAATATACTAAGTATTTATTACAAGAGAATTATCATATTTTTTGCAATGAGATACTTGGAAATAAATAAATTAAATAACTGAATCATTACCCCCCAGTTTGATAACTTAACTGATACCGTGTACCACCAAGAAATTAACTTATAATTACTACTCGAAATTTGATAAGATTATCAGTGAGCTTGAAGAATTTCTTCCCAGACTACGAAAAAATGTAACAAGTCATAAACAAACCGTATATAGTAAATTTACATCGTACACGATCCTGTACGTCTTCGTCGTTTGCACCTGTATTATCTGCGGCCTTAATTAATCAAATTGCTAATGGCGCCGAGCCAAATGGTACCTATTTGGCCTGCAATCAAAAGGATATTCTACAACTGTCACGCTTACTTGGCGTTTATCATCTCCGGAAACTTTATTGTTAAAGTTGAATAGAAAGTAAAAATTGCTCAAAACCTTTGATATTCAAATTTTATGGAGAATATATAATCCTAGCAAGCGTCAAATCACATTTCACATTCTATTGTAAAGCATTACATTGGTTTACCATGTGTTATATTATCGTGCGTTAGGTTACCACGTGTTGTATCGCCACGCGTTATAATTCCACGCATTGGAGCGAAATGTGTTGTATTGCTGTGTGTTACATTACCACGCGTTGTATCGCCACGCGTTATAATTCCACGCGTTACATTGCCGTGTGTTATATTGCCGTGCGTTAGATTACCACGCGTTGTATCGCCACGCGTTATAATTCCACGCGTTATATTGCCGTGTGTTATATTGCCGTGCGTTAGATTACCACGCGTTGTATCGCCACGCGTTATAATTCCACGCATTGGTACCAAATATGTTATATTGCCGTGCATTGGATTACCACGTGTTGTATCGCCACGCGTTATAATTCCACGTGTTACATTGCCGTGTGTTATATTGCCGTGCATTAGATTACCACGCGTTATAATTCCACGCGTTACATTGCCGTGTGTTATATTACCGTGCTTTAAATTACCACGTGTTGTATCGCCACGCGTTATAATTCCACGCATTGGTTTCACATGTATTATATTGCCGTGCGTTAGATTACCACGCGTTGTATCGCCACGCGTTATAATTCCACGCATTGGTACCAAATATGTTATATTGCCGTGCATTGGATTACCACGTGTTGTATCGCCACGCGTTATAATTCCACGCGTTACATTGCCGTGTGTTATATTACCGTGCTTTAAATTACCACGTGTTGTATCGCCACGCGTTATAATTCCACGCGTTACATTGCCGTGTGTTATATTACCGTGCTTTAAATTACCACGTGTTGTATCGCCACGCGTTATAATTCCACGCGTTACATTGCCGTGTGTTATATTACCGTGCTTTAAATTACCACGTGTTGTATCGCCACGCGTTATAATTCCACGCGTTACATTGCCGTGTGTTATATTACCGTGCTTTAAATTACCACGTGTTGTATCGCCACGCGTTATAATTCCACGCGTTACATTGCCGTGTGTTATATTACCGTGCTTTAAATTACCACGTGTTGTATCGCCACGCGTTATAATTCCACGCGTTACATTGCCGTGTGTTATATTACCGTGCTTTAAATTACCACGTGTTGTATCGCCACGCGTTATAATTCCACGCATTGGTTTCACATGTATTATATTGCCGTGCATTACATTGCCACGTGTCCTATCGCCACGCGTTATAATTCCACTCATTAGAACGAAACGTATTAGATCACCACGCGATAAATTCTTGTACGATCTCGAATTATAATTCCACGTGTATCGTCGCGTGCTATAATGTCACCGTTGTATTTATAAAATGAGCTATTAACACATTTGGCCATTTGATTTGCACAATAAAAAATGAATAATTTTCAAATTGTAATCAGCACCTGAAAATAAGGGGAAAGAATGAACACCAAAATAAGTAACGATGGTCTTCAAAGCGTTAATCAAAGTATAAAGACAGTGTCAGCAATTAGAAACGCGATCGAACGCATTTTTTCTTATTAAATTTTCGAAAAGTCCCGCAATACGTGACGGCTCTCTGTTGGCTGTGCATCCTTGCGTAGCAGAGCACTCCAGCGATTCTATTTTAAGGAACGACAGAAAGTTAAGATTATTTTAGTTACATTTTTCACCTCCGACCCAGAACGTAAGGTGCTAAGCACAAGAACATCACGATGGTCGAGTAGGTTCATTTTTTCACGAACATTCACGGTTGCATACGTTCCGAATTGAACAAAAAATTCATTTCAAGAAAGCATTTAATCTTAGAAAGGATTTGAATCAATTACGTAACATTGAAACGTCGATTCAATTTTTCCAAACGTTTACAAGTAACTTTTTGTACCACAAAAAATTTCAAGTTTCCCCTAAAAAAAAATGAAGAACCTATGCAATCCTAGTTTTCGTGTGGTGCCTTTTTACCTGGTATAAAAAATGAATCATCGTGTGAAATCTCTTCGTGCAGTTTGCATAGCTGACTAAAATATCAATATCGTGAGAGTGTGTCTAATAACATTTTGGTTAAACAAATCGTGAACGTCCGAGTGTTGAAACTTGCAAAAATAAAGGATACGTATGTCGATGATGCTCCATGTTTAATTCACTGATGTTTAACTCCGTTCTCGATCGACGATTTTATCTTCATCATGGACTTGCGAAGAATGTCCAATTGGAACGTCCTGAGCGTGGAAGCGGCTCTTCAGCAACTCAACAATTTTGACGATGATAATACGGAGATCATAAGACGTCCAAACACGGTAAAACATCGAGTCGGTTATTAATATTAATTTTTCCCCTGATGTTTGCCTCGAAAATTAAGTTTATTTATTGTCGATAGGCCTTCCAAATGGCTTTAGAATTATTTTCTCGTCGCTAGGAACCAATGATGGGGTCTTACCTATTCTTGTCTCGTCTGCTTGCCTGACTGACTGCTTGTTTTTATTTATAACTAATTAAGCTAGACGCCGTTCGAAGTGTATCCAAGTATGGACCAGTCAATCGGCAGCCTTCTAACAAATTGGTTTACAGTTTGATCAGCTTCGTTTGTGAAATGATTTTCATGGGGGTTTGATTCTTCGACTGAATCTTCCTGGATTAATAAGTTTGAAACTGAAAGTTCGATGATGAGTACGTGGCATCAGTTGAACGTTGAACACGCGACCAGTGCTATATCTAGGGAGGATCTAGGTGCTAGTATCTATCGGAAAAAGATTGTGTCCAAAGCGGTAATTATTTAATTAAAATAAAACATCAAGGCTAAACTGTATGTTCTTCTAGTTTGTGGTACTTTAATCTTTTTGCTGTAAGTATTACTGTTTGCTAAATTAAATGAGAAAGGGCAATTTGCGTACTTTAAGATAATATACCAAGATAGACAACGATGGATCTATTTATCCAAAATTTTAATTAAAATTGTAGAACGAATTTTGGAAAGTTGTCAATAAAAAAAAGAACCGATATTTATCGAGTTTTAATCGATTTACGATTATTGCACAACAGATTCACGAAAACCTTCAATCACGTCAATCGAGTGTAATCACATTTCCAATATTGCTGCAATTGTTGCAAAATTTCGACTGGAAATTTGTAGGAACTATGTAAATGATGTTATCGATTTACGTGACGTATTTGTTATTGAAACACTCGTGATCTCTTTTTGCGATAAGATCCTGAAAACGGTATGTGGTTAATTGTTTATGTGATTAGATGTTACACATCTTGCTGTGTGATTCAGCCACTCGATATTATCTCCGATTGTACCGAAAAAAAAGTTGCTCTTATTGAAAAAACAGGATTGTTGTAGTACATGTATTTTCATGTAAGTTCCACGTGCATGAGTGTATCTTGTCGACGGTCTCGTGTCGGATAAGTTCCAAGTCTTAAATCAAGCCCAACATTTTGGCAAATTTTTAGAAACCGCGGTTCCCTGAGAATTTGACAAACCTCTCTGATTAATACTTCGTACTTCCAAAAGCGATGTTAAAATTACGCCTCTCATTCATTCAAACATTTACCACATTATTATTCACTAATTTACATTTTAAATACTTCCATAATTAAATGTTTTACAAATCGATTAAAGTGATATTAGCGACATTAACATCTCGTTAAATTATACTTTCTGAACGACATATTACTTTCCGCTAATTTACATGTTAATTTTATGAATTTATTTGCAATTTTAAACGTTTCATCAAGTTACGTCTCTCATTTCGTATTACTCTTCACGAGTGAACATTTTAAAAGTTTTAATCTCAGAACCAACCGAATGAAACAAAATGGTTATTGAAAAAATGAATTGAACGCAAACAATGGCAGTCGAAGTGTTTTATAAACCCGGATTTGACGTTTCACGGGGAAAACACAAGGAAATGCACCTTGGCTGCGGGTGACGAGTTTAAAATTAAAGTGCAGACGGGTCTTCCAAGTCTTATATTTAGGACGACGCGCATGCGTGATCCGATTAGAAATCCCGTGAAGACTTAGAATTTCTGGTTTCTCAAATTCCGACGTTCGACGCGATTTTCGCGAACTACACTCGCAAGTTGCAATTATTTTATTCGTTAACCCTTTCTCGTGCAAATTTACCCGCGTCGCGTTGGATTGAAAATTTCGTAGACCGTGGTACCGTGGACCTTCCTCGATCGGACAATCGAACGATCGAAACGCGATCAGTGGCTTCTGTAAAAAATTATTAGTGCAGATTTTGAGAAAATAGCAAGATGGATCTCGGAGGTGTCGATGTCTGGGGTCAGATTGCCGTGGAAACGTCTCAGATGTTCGTTTCTGAAGGCGGTGTCGTTAAAAGTCGTTTTGCGGGGACAGTAAGTGTATATGGACTTTTAGAGAGAACGAGTTTGCCTCTCAGTGATTGAAGGGCTGTGCTATCCCTAGACAGAAATCCTAATTATTTCGAGGATGGAAGTAGCCTAAATTCCCGATTCACAAATCTTGAGTCTCGGAGAGCTGATATTTTCGAATTTCCAAATCTTGAAACTTAATTTGGAAAGCTTCAATTCCTCAAATTCCTGAATTCTCAAGTTCCCAATGGCTAATGACCACAGTAGTCGACGCCCACAACAGTAATCAATCAATCAGTCAAGTTCCCAATTCCTCAAATTCCTAAATTCTCAAGTTCCCAATTCCTGAAATTCCCAAACTCTCAAGTTTCCAATTCCTCAAATCCCCAAACTCTCAAGTTTCCAATTTCTCAAATCCCCAAACTCTCAAGTTTCCAATTCCTGAAGTCCCCAAACTCACAAGTTCCTAATTCCTCAAGTCCCCAAACTCACAAGTTCCCAATTCCTCAAATCCCCAAACTCTCAAGTTCCCAATTCCACAAATCCCCAAATTCTCAAATTTCCTATCTCTCAAATTCCCAAACTCTCAAATTTCCAATTTCACAAATCCCCAAATTCTCAAATTTCCTATCTCTCAAATCCCCAAACTCTCAAATTTCCAATTTCACAAATCCCCAAATTCTCAGATTTCCAATTTCCAAGTTCCCAATCCCTCAAATTTCCAAACTCTCAAGTTCCCAATCCCTCAAATCCCCAAACTTTCAAGTTCCCAATCCCTCAAATTTCCAAACTCTCAAGTTCCCAATCCCTCAAATCCCCAAACTCCCAAGTTCCCAATCCCTCAAATTTCCAAACTCTCAAGTTCCCAATCCCTCAAATCCCCAAACTCCCAAGTTCCCAATCCCTCAAATTTCCAAACTCTCAAGTTCCCAATCCCTCAAATCCCCAAACTCCCAAGTTCCCAATCCCTCAAATTTCCAAACTCTCAAGTTCCCAATCCCTCAAATCCCCAAACTCCCAAGTTCCCAATCCCTCAAATTTCCAAACTCTCAAGTTCCCAATCCCTCAAATCCCCAAACTCCCAAGTTCCCAATCCCTCAAATTTCCAAACTCTCAAGTTCCCAATCCCTCAAATCCCCAAACTTTCAAGTTCCCAATTCCTCAAATCCCCAAACTCTCAAGTTCCCAATCCCTCAAATCCCCAAACTTTCAAGTTCCCAATTCCTCAAATCCCCAAACTCTCAACTTCCCAATTCCTCAAATCCCCAAATACTCAAGTTCCCAATTCCTCAAATCCCCAAATTCCCAAATTTCCACCCCCAAATATTTGTAACCGAAAACCCAGTTACGTCAATAGCCTAACTCTCCTCTTTGCTCTTCCAGACGATAGAAAAATTGCCAGATAAGGTGCTTCTGAACGTCTTCAGCTACCTGTCCCATCGCGAGATATGCAGGGTGGCACGTGTGTGCAAAAGGTGGCGTCAAATCGCCTACGACACCCGTTTATGGAAACACGTATCCCTACGACCAGAAATCAGTGGACTGCACGTGAATTCCCTAGACAACCTACTGCACTTGATCAGGTAGAGAAAAAGAATGTTGGCAGGCAATTCTTGTTACCGAAATATGTCGAAACGTCTCACTTGCCAAGAACAACGAACAAAAAATCAGGGAATTAATTTGTTGTACACTAGCACACGTTTCGGAGCGTCGTTGAGGTACATCGAACTACCCATTGAGTTGATTACTCATACGGTGCTGCACGAGTTGGCGAACAAGTGTCCAAACCTGACCCACATGCTCCTCGACTTCTCCACCGCGATGCAGCTGCACGATTTCTCGGAAATGCAGGCGTTTCCTACTAAACTCAAGTACATGTGTATCTGCCTGTCGGAGGTGATCTTCATGGAGGGCTTCATGAGAAAGATTTATAACTTCATTAATGGTTTGGAGATTCTTCATTTGATAGGTTCGTATTTAATTCTTAAGATATCCTTCAAAATTCTCTTAACACTTTGCCTGTTGAAAATATATGAACTTTTTGAGAACCACCTGTGTAATATCGGACAAAAAGTACCTGTGTGAACTAATACTTCAAGTAGACGAGTTAACAGATCAAGCAATAAAATATAAATAATTGCAGGAACATACGAGAAGGTAGAAGAAGAGGAAGAAGAAATCTACGAAGTGATAAACGTGCACAAACTAAAGTCAGCGACCCCAAATTTAAGGGTGATCAACTTATACGGTATCAACTTCGTAGACGACTCGCATATCGACGCGTTCTCCTCGAATTGCATCCAGCTGGAGTGTCTGGCCGTGAACTTCTGTGCCAAAGTCACTGGTTCGACGATGAAGACCCTGTTCCAGAGAAGCAGACGATTAAAGTGTCTGCTGATGCAAGGAACAAGTACCTATCGTTACACATAATTGTCTCTCTATTATTTGGATCCATGAAAAATATTCTGAACGTGTTGCAGATCTTCAAAGCGACTACGTGATGCAGGTAGAATGGGAGAAGTCGAATATCCAGGAATTGGACGTCACTGCCACGGATTTATCCACGGACTGCCTGATCGATATGCTGACCAGAATTCCAGGTCTTCGTTTCCTGAGCGCAGGCCAGTTGAACGGCTTCAATGACAGCGTGCTGAAAGCCTGGGCTGAACTTGGCAATCCACGGAACCTGATTGCCTTGGACTTGGACAGTTCCGACAATCTGACTGACGATGCCCTACATAAATTTTTGTCCAGATACGGTCATCAACTGTGGGGACTAGCTTTGTCCGGCATGCCTCACATCACCGATCAGTTATGGCAGAGCGTCTTGCCGATATTAACTAATGCCAAGTAAGATATATTTCAAGATGCACCAAGATGTTGCTGTGAAATGTTCCTTAAAAAATTACTTGGAAAGGCGACTCTTGGTGGTACATTATGTAGAACAGTGATGTAGCTGCTATAATTTAATTGTCATAAAACCTAAGATTTAGGTTTGTAGAACCATAAACCATCACTGTTCTAGCAAGTATAAACAATGAATTAAAATTAAAAAGTTTATGCACTTTAGAATTCTCGTAATGGGAACACAAGAGAGATTGGGAGTAAATATCCACGTGGATCAATTGATGGACGGAATAGCGAATAACTGTCCAAACTTAGAACGTTTGGAGTTACGTTGGGACCCAGAGAACTTGAGGTTCTCCGACAAGAGTCAAAAAGCGATAGACATTCTTCGCGTCAAGTGTATCAAGTTACGCTGTCTAAGTTTGAGGTAAGTTCGTAATAAAAAAGAATTAGCAGGAACATTGCGTGTGATTATGAAATTTTGTTACAGTGATGGAAGATATTATGAAATAGTTAAAGCGAATTTCGAGCGTGCCGACAGACTGACGGTCGTTCGAACGACGACATGCTGCCGCGTGTCGAATTACTACCTCTTAGCCAATTACAAGGATCTAATTTTTAATTAATATTATTTATAATTACATTTATACGCGGGAGGGATTTATGCGTAAGTTTTGTTCCATAGGATCGACGAGTCACCGTGGCGATCGATGATACCAAACAGGTAAGAGAAGTTATAGAATGAATTTAATTGAAGAGCATTGTTTAATAATTAATCTGTGTTGCAGACGATGGATCACGGTTGCTATTGACCAAACAGGGAATCGACTCAATTATTTATTCCACATATTATTATAAGAAAAAACGCGCAAAATGTCAGATACATATTTTTTTACGATACGTTCGATCATGTACATAGACCAGTTTGCAAACTGTAACAATTTATTAAATCTCGAATGTTCACTCGACAAATAACAATCTTGACATTTTTACGAAATCTGAGATTTGTCATTGAAACCTTAATTAAGGACGAGTTAATTCAGCATAATAGTGAAATGTATTTCTTGGTTAATCGTGTCATTACCTTTCTGTACTCGGAACACGCGAAGGAAACGCTGTCGTGAAATCGTTTTTCAGGCGCAATATCGACAAGGTAGCGGCACGCACAATGGCGTTCGTAGTTTTATCGATTATTCGCTAATTTATTCATGCAGCCGACGACGACGACGTCGCACTGGCCACAGCTGGTGGTCGGTCGATTCGCTCGATTTCATTCTCTCCACATGCCAGACCCTTCGTTTATATGTTGTATTATAGTCGACGGACAACCGCTGTCACCGTCACGACTTTTCGCATGATTTCCCGTAACTTTTGTATCTTGTACCTTCTATCTCCCGTACCGATCTTCCTCGATGTCCGAAGCCGAAGAGGAACTGATCGCCAAGAAACTGAAGATCGTTCTCGTCGGTGATTCCGGAAGCGGAAAAGTGAGTGACGTGACCTGGATGGTGAACCAAAAAGTTTCATATTTAGACTCCTGTATAATACATAAAAGTCCATCATTTGCAAGGTTCAGTGTTTAATCGCGTCTTTTATTTTCTTCATTTTTTCTAAAGATATTGATTTGTACATTTAAAATGTCCAAGTCTATCGATTCATTTTTCTCACAGTGGAGAGTGTCATAAATGTAAACACGGTGTTACCAAATAGTTCATTAGCTTCCTTTAAAGATAATGACTACCTACGAGTTTACGTCGCTGAAGAACTCACAGTGTACTTAGTTTTACTTCAAATTACACATTCGTGACTCGAGTCAATTTACAGCTATAGTTCTTCAAAAGTTTTATGCTCTGTAATTAAAAATACAACAGGTTGAGCAAATTGGGATTGCACTAATAATTAGCGAACACGCGCGAGATTCGATCCGTCTTCGGATTAATTAACCTATTAATTGGAGAGGAGGTACAGTAGTCTCTCGTGATGTTGCCACGAACGATGATATAGGGCTGAGCTATTTTTGAATAAATAAATGTTGCATGTTGCTAGAACAAATGTTGTTGGATATACAATTTTTTATATTTTATATTCTTTTATATTTTTTATAATCTTTATATTTGACGTGAGTCTTCATATCCTACGAAGGTGACAATATAACGAAAGTCTACTGTAATATCTTCCATACTAAGTAGGCGATTCTAGATAGAACTGAAGTTCAAGAACCCCTGTTTAGACGAGCATCGCTCAGAAGTTTTGCAACAACGAGTTCACCAGACAGTACACGCCAACGTCTGGAATCGACTTCTTCCTAAAGAACATCAGTATCGGTTACTATAAGAATGTAAATCTACATTTGTGGGACGTGGGCGGCCTCGCTCTTCATGGGAACATGCTGGACAAGTACTTTTTCGGAGCTCACGTAAGAACATACTCTTCAACAACTCTGATAAACAACACGAATGATTATCACAAAGATTCTTTCTAGATCATACTTCTAGTCTACGACGTCACGAACAGTTTCAGCTTCGAAGTTCTAGAAGAATGGATAAGCAAAATCAGAAAGCTGAGCAGCGATTACGAGGAAGCTCCTCTGATGGCTGTGGTTGGAAATAAATGTGACGTCGAGCATCAAAGATCGGTGAAAAAGGATCGAACGCACAAATTCGCGGCGGAAAATGGATTCCCGTCTCACGATGTGTCCGCGAGGACTGGCGAGGCTGTACGTATTCTTAGGATCGTCGTAGCAAAAAGATCAAACTCGTTATTTTTATAAATCGCTTTAATTGCAGGTATCTTTGTGTATAGTGACTTTAGCAGCGCAGATATTGGGCGTTCGCTTAACGAAAACGGATCAGGAGTATCACAAACCAATAATCATAGCGGAGATAGGTGACACGGTTGACATGAGCACGGTTCACAAAGTTGTCAAGAGAATTCCCGTGAAAAAACATCAGATACCTTTTTACCCTCATTTACCTGGTTCGAAGTCGGCAGTGTGTGCATTGCAATGAATATCACCGAGTTCTAAACTTTTAATGAAGAGCCTACGTTGCACCCTAAAGTGTTTGAGAAAATATTTTTCATACAATTGTAAGAGAATGAGTAGAAAATACGAAGTGATATTATTGCATACTTTCGATTTATTTTTGTACGCAGTACACCCTGTATAACATTGAGGGGCCAATGATAAACTGTGTCTTCGCAGAGAGATTTAAAAAGAAATTTATTTGTCGATAGAATCTAATCGAGCGTGATTGTGTTAATATGGGTCGATGTATCAATGTTAAAAATACTTTTACAATAATAGATATTATACATTCAGTAATTTACATACATTGTAGATTGAGTACATGCCAAGAACTCGGTATTAGAGGCTTGAAATTCGTATAAGTGCTCGCAAAACGATCTGTATAGAAATCACAAGCTGAACCGAACGTTTGGTTCTCAATTAAACATAAAATTAAGTAGACTATAACAATAAACATATTTTTACTCGCATTCTGAGTACGACAGAATAAAATTAATTGTGTCACTGGTTTCGTTAAATCTAATTAATGGCACTATTCGTGCAATCGATACACATAAACATAAATATATGTATAAAACAAAACGCAATTTAACTAGAGAACATTTCGTGTAACAGGTATAAAACAGGTAAGATCGCAATGTGTGCGCATTATTGGAACAATCAGCTTCGAATAAAAGACGATGTGGAAGCCTTCGGAGAGGGTAAAAATTGTTAATAAATTAGCGAATAAGTTAGTCGAATACTTTTAACAATGAATTATGAAAACGAGCATTCATAAAAACAGAGTATACGTTTCAAGACGACGCTACGATTTATCGATTAGCACTTCATTCTCTTGGATTACTTATTTCCCACATATTTGTATGTACAAGCTCGGAGTTGAAATTCATTCTTCAGAAATGCTAATTGAAAACTGCAGTTTCAAGTGCACGAATTATTGAAGACTTTCATGTACGTTACACGATTTGAGTCTTATCGTTGAATACAGTGAATCAGACTACACTCAGATGCAAAGTAAGTTTCCTTTGGATAAAGGCTAGAGAAGAGCCTCCCATCACTTGCCTATAATTTTGAGTGATTAAATGTTTAAAAATTTGAAAACTTTCGAATTTCAAAAACCAAGTGATGGGGTCTCTTTGCCATTTATCCTGGAGAAGCCTACCGTGCTTATACGTGTACGCTTGCGGACGGTGCAGTCGACAGAATTTGAACACCCGTTTGAATCGAGATAGAGAGGTGCAAAAATTACAGTTTTGCTAGATTTTATACAACATCGATCATTCATCGATTACTCGCCTTTTTAAGAAACAAGAAATCTAAATATTTCAATTAATACGTTACTTTTTTACCCTAATATGGTCTTCAGTCTCTCATTATGTTGTATGGAAGCTATCAATTATTAACTTAAATGTTCACTTTACTATAAGTCCGATTTTGTTAGTGGTCTTCTTGGCCACACGTTCTTTTCTAGAATTTTCTCTTTAGCTTCCCATAATTGTATAAATTTCTCGTTCATTGGAGTAATGTATGTGTCTACCCATTCTTGTACCGTGTAATTGTCATATATTTCTTCCAACGCTGTCCGCATTTCTTTCTCGATATACATTATCTCCATTTTGTGTCTGTCCAGATCGACAACTGCGCGCTTTACGTGACTAGGACTTGAGAAAGAATACTTCAAATTATATGGTTTCAACCATCCCCTGAAGGTATTGTCCTGTTCCATTTTATTAACTTCTTGTGTCAAAGCGTAAAGACGTAAAATGGCGGCGTAAATTGATATACCATTGTAACTGCATTTGGTCCAACCATACTGTGGTTCTGGAATACTCAATGAAATCATGCCTTCGCATTGCAGTGCTTGTAATACGGCAGTAGGCACCTCTACTGGAAATCCGCTTAAATCTGGAGCTTGAAGAATAGCTAAATTTACAGCGAGAGAAGGTAGAGCAGAAGGTAAGAGTTCGCAGAGTACACTGAAATGATCGTATCTTTGCCAACCAGTTAGAATAACACCTTTGAATGTAATTTGAGTAGAGTATCTATTAATAATTTCCAACCAACGTTGATGATTTTCCATGTGGTATGCAATATCCGTGTAATATCTGTCCGGTGCAGTGGCACCTTTGAAGGCTGTAGCAACCCAAATATCTTTCCAAACTGATGCATAGCTTTCCCATAACTGATCTGTTAAGGATGTTCCAGGATCAGTAGTGTATTTCCAAACAACTGGTTCCACCATTAAATGCAAGCCTCTGTCTATAATTTCTTGAGGTGAAATTTCTCTGAATTCGTCATCCCACATGAGAATACTCAGTTCAGGATATTTGTCTTTGATGTATCTTACTACTTTTGAAACATGATCCAAGAATAATTGTTTTTTGCCCCATTTCCTTTTGACCATTATATCTAAGCACCTAGAACATTCTCCTATGTGGTATACCTCATCAGCTCCTATATGTAACTGCTTAATATCAGGATGAGCAGCCACTACTTGATCTATCATTTCATAAAGTAATGGTAAAGTCTTGTTATAAGTAGGACATACAGCTTGCGGATATTGTGGCACCTCTCTATAATCTTTATACTTCTCTAACTTAAGGACAAATTCCATATGACCAAAGGTTTGAATCAGCGGTATAACAATGAGCTTGTGTTCCCTGGCTATCTCTTGAATATTTGTGATGTCTCTTTTATTATAACAATTACCTGCACTGATATCTTGTATCCTATCATCAAAAGGAAACATGTCCTCGTATTCTATAAGTATACCTGTGGCACCTAATCTTTTGAGCAACCTAAACAGATACTTATAATAACTTATTTTGGGAGGGGCACCCTTTAGGTCTAAATGTACAATTTTGTGTCCTTTGAACAATGGTACATTTTGTGTATCGGATCTACCATAATTGAAGTCACTGAACAATTGTCCACCGCCGTTTCTTAATTTTCCCATTATGTGCGCCTCTATGCGTTGTTTTCTGGCAATACTGCGAGGATTTTCTGTAAGATCACTCAATGGGTAAACTTCTTCAATCTTCAATCGTGGATTTAATTTATTGGATGTAATGTCCTCGACCTCGTTACTCAGAATGTGATAAATCACAATCAACAGAGTGAAACTGATCATTATGATGACCATTAAAGAGGCTCTGCCTCTCAAACGTGTCATGATTGTCAGTCCAGCAGAACATCAAGATCGACTCGATTTTTTATTGCTTTTATTTAATCGATGTTGATATGTACTAATTAACACTGTTTGATAGTTCTTATTACTGATCGTTACGTTGGCAAAAGCACCGTACTAATTCAAAATTCAAAATTTCTGTGAAATGTACAGCCTTATTATTAGAATATAATTCAAGATCTTTTAAATAATTACTTTTTTAATAGAAATGAGCTTTTCTCTTATCACAGATTTAATGACAGAAATAGCAGACCGTTGTTGCTGCTATATATAGTTACAAACGCTATCGAGAAGCAGTCTAGGCAACCATAAAAATAACCTATATTTCCGACACAAATTTTTATGATATTTGCGTTTTATGCTAATTACATTATTTTTATACACAAGTTGTTATTGCGGAAAGATCTATTTAAAGCAAAGTACATTGTACATCGTTGAATTCATTAGCATAACTATGACAAAAACATTCCCTATACTTTATATTGCGCGAAGTATAATAATTATTTATACCCGCTTAGACTTTATAAACATATATTACTGATGAACTAACAATTTCTCAAATTAGGTAATGAAAAGTCGACGTTCAATATCACAAAGATTATATAGATATAGTTAACCAAATACTAATTAATAATTCGTATTTTGTACCGCATATTTCGTGCGAAAAAGACATAATGAAAACAGGGTTGCCAAAGTTAGGCGCATGACCTATAAATAACGGCGCGTCATTCCGCATCAAATTTGCAAGAACAAATTGCATTTGACATACAGCAAGAACAAGATAATTCTATGATAATTTTAAATTACAATTCGTTCTCGTTACAGACCAGATACACATACATCTTTATTTCCTTTCCTCGTTCAATTCCTTAGGACAATTTAACGCTAGAACAAAGAGTCCCATGCGCTCACCAATTTACGGATGAAATACGCGTTGATTAGGCGCATAAAGTGCAAAACAAAGGGACAGTATGCAATACTAGGAACGAAAATAGAGTTCTCGTATGCGTAACGAGAAAAGAATCGAAGACGAGCGAAACCGGAGAGGCTCGGAGCTCGTGTAATCGAATCCTCGACGGCGAAATCTTAAATCCTTAAGTCCTTTATCTTGTTTCCAGTTTCCGCGAACTCTCCGGCCACCCGTTACATACTTAATGAACGTGACTAACGCCCGTTTAGTTATGACGAGGGTAGGGGAATAATTCTGCACAATAAAGCTGTTTAATGATGCCATTCTGTATGAGGTTCCATGTTTTGATACATGCGTTTACCGAAAGAATTGCAACAAACTCTATTAAAAAAAAAAAAAATAAAAAACTGGGAAAACTTAACAGTAATTAATTCGTAGACTAAGATCATCAATTATCGATGTACTGTAATATTTTAATAGACCAGTTAAATATTTGTCCCGTGAGAAAATATTGTTTGAAGAGAAAGTTGTATTTCAAATTGCATCGTTCTCTGCGCAGTAGATCTTTATTGCTGCGCAATTGCTGATCAATAACCGTGCTCGAAGCGATGGAAAGCTACGCCGAGACTAATCTCTAACATTATAGGTACGAATAGAAAACGATGCAACTCGTGTTTCGATGAAACAATTCGATTGAAAGTTTCGCGATAAGGATTCTTCGAAACGAGGAAAGTCGCTTATTCGACTTATTATTGTGACTTTAGCAGAAAAGGAGAGGAAGTTACAAAGAATCGGTGTAAGTTCGAACCGCAAAGGCGTCAACGTGCTTTTGTAGCGACCGAATCGAGACAAAGAGTGGCTTGGATGATTATTCAGAAATCATGACTCAAGTCCACGCATGCAGACGCTGTATCTATGTTTGCGCAGCTTTTTTCGCGAATTCTTGCATATGCAGCTGTTAGATGGAAAAAAACAGTTGTATCGAGAAGGTCGTTGTGCCTTATCAACCTACCTGATAGTCGCGGAGTATCAATTTTTAATTACCAGCCAATTAAGCGGAAACTGGAGACGCGAGGGAAAAAACCTATCTGGTCTGGATAGGTGTCTCCCTTGTTATTAAAACTGGATTCTTTGTTACTCGAACGCGATAATTAACAGGCGAATGTCGCATCGATGAAATTTTCCCCAAAAAATATTAAGAGGTATGTCACACCTTTTTGGTGCGAAATTTCATCCCACAAATGTTTGGCTAAGTTTGCTTCGATAAAAATTTGCTAATGTGCCGTGTTTTTCGACGAAATAAAAAATCTGTTATTTGTCGCGGTATGCACAAAATACACATCTCGTGTTTGTCAACGTTGATAACGAACGAGAGACAGCGAATGTTATTTGACGATCGTTTCGCTTCGATGTTAGGCAATATTACGTGTCGGAGCAACCGTGTACCCTTATTGCACACATACTTTCAAGGTAGCGTTGAATAATGCTAAATTATTCATTATTCGAAGTTGGATACAGAACCTTGATATTCGCCAGTTCTGAGGGCGGGAAATTATGAAGGGTCAATGTTACTGAGTCCAAATGAGTAACCGGGAATTTATTTAATAAGTATCTATTGTGAGAGAGATAAATATAAAATCGAAACGAATAATAGTCGAGCGAGTAAGGAAGAGAAATTGAATGCTGAATAACAAATAAAATTCTATTCGAATATCCCAACACTGCCCGAAGGAAAATTCTCGGTTGAGCATATGCATGCTTTCGTTATACGTTCTCAAGGGTCTTTCACGGCTGATAGATCCATTGATAGCGCGTTATTAAAGCGAACTACTCGATGCAGTGCACAAGAAACGGTCAATTACACGAGAAAACGTTTCCAGAGTTGTTTCTGCGATACAAATGGTGACTCGAAGAACAGCTGCTATCGAGGCGATACAAAATTACTTACGTTATTGGTGCTTCAAATTTCTTTTAAAAAGAATTCTGCAAAGACATTCTGTTTTCAGAACCTCTCACAACTGTTCGGACTAATTCGGTACGAAGGTCGTTAATTTATTAGTAACAATTACGAAAGATAGGTTTCTATTCAGATTGCAACTGCATTTCTTTCGAAACCCAAAGTTCGCGAAATTGGCCGTAAACAAAAGAAAAAGACTGGCGCGATTTTTTCCTTTTCGCTGACAATGAAGAAACCTTGCGGCCACGAGCGCACACATCGATGGCTTTCATTAAAGGAAGGGCACGCACTTCTCCTCTAACTCTTTCGAGTCGTCGTCGTCTGGAACCTCCTGAGATAACGTGACATTACGGTCAGCAGTGCGAGCAGTATGCGCGCGAACGTCGGAGAACGCGCACCTTCTTTCCTCTTTTCCGTCGCTCTTTGTTCCCGTTCATCGAAAATCGACGTATTTACTTGCTTCCACTCTAGTTAATAGCTTGTGAAAATGCAGTGACGTGACTGATCTTGTGACATTTAATTTAATCTTTATTGGTGTCAACTTTAACTCAGAACTGTAAGTTGTAGTTCTTTCCATTCGCTCTTCTTGATCATGGTGAAGTTTTAAAATTGTGGTGATATTACGAGATCGTAAGTCTGACGATTTTTATTCATCTTTTATTACTCATCGAAAGGTGCACCGAAGATCGTTGCAGGATCCGCTCACCTGCAGTGACCTGAAGTTCACCTGAAGTTTTATTGCAGTGGCTCATGAAAGCATTCGAGCGTATACAATTAACAGGCAGGTTAAACTGGTTGAAGTTTTTGAAGTTATGACCGCTGACTTGCTCGAGTGTAAATTTTATGTGGCATTAAAAGGGAGTTAAATTTTTAGAAGTTATAAATCGAAAAATGTAAAGTAAAAAAGTGTAATCACTTCATTTACATAAGATCAGAAGTATGAAATAAAATGTCCACTATTCTTAGCAAATCTCATTCACCAAACAAAGTATACATTTGGCAGACATGCTTCAACTGGCTTAAAGTATTTCAACGCATGTGAACACATTTACTTATTAAATTAGTATGCGCATACACTGACTGCTTAATTAGGCACAGTGACTATGTACATTTACTGTAACATATGTACAAACTGTTTCAGGAGAGAACGAACAACTTGTTCTGCATATTTAAAAGGTCATTCTGAATCGAAATGATTACTTGCATCTTACAGTCAAATATTACAATTCAATGTTTAACCTGTATGCTTAAAACCTTGCGTTCGGATATTTTTATAATTTACTGTAAAGGTATTTTGATTTTATTGAGAAGTAGTTTGAACGACAGTAATTTTCTGCACTAAATGGTATTCTTTCGTCGTGAACTGATTCACGTAACAGTGGGCGCTTTTCTCGAGGAAAAAGAATGCGGGAAGTTAAACGAGCGTGTGCTCGATACGGGAACGGTCCGTTTGACAGCGTTCAACATCCAGAAGTGGGAAACAGGAAAAGTGAAAGGATTTCATAGACTTCCCGTAGAGGCAATACAGCACGTGGTGCTGCCTTTCATACGCGCTAGCATAAAATTCACTATTTTCTTGACCGACTTTAATCTAGCCGAAAGTAAACTGCTTTTTAAGTCGACTTCATTATACAATTCACGTCCCCTTCTGATTCCGATAAAACATCTACGACTGGAAAACGCTGAGGGTGTTTTCACCCTCTCGGAAGAGTGTTCTCCTTACGAGTTGCGGATGTAATAAGAATGAAGACACGGAAAAGTGTCTTACCTCGTTGACCAGTCGAACAGCGTAAATGGTGAAACGATACAAACAAGGTGATCGATTGAATCGCAAGCGGAAAAGTGCAACGATCTACGTGATCGTCGACCTGCCTGAGGCTACCATGACACGGCACGTTCGAAATAATCATTTCGCTCTTCCTGAAGAGAATACATCCGTTCAGGTTCACGCTGAGCGTGAATTAAAAATAGTTCAAGATTCTTCGAATTTTTAATCATTCTCGCGCGAGAGAAATTCTGGGGTATTGGTTAGATAAGACGTGGTCGGAAAGAAGCATTTTCTGGGAGATTACGTGTAATCGGAACATGAGTCATCGGAGGGGAAATAATATTCAGAAGCTTTTTATTTCATCTATTGATTCTGACACATAGATTAAGTAAGAGGCGCAGGAAGTTCTCGAGTGCCCATAGGCAGGTGTCATAGAGATTACAAACAATGTACTGCAAGATAAACATGTTATATCACTATGCGCTGCACTAATTGCTGCAACGAAACTTTTATATAGGTACAGATAAGTGTATCAGGACTTTTTAACTCCTTGAGTTTGCTGCAATTACCAAATTTTTAAATTCGTATCAAAGTTATCAAGAATCCACAAAGTATTTTCGGTAAATTGCTCCGAGAGATAAAATAGCGAGTAAACATCAAAGTAAACCTGAAAGAATTCTACCTAACGGCAATAACAATTTGAAGCAAAGTTAAATTGCGAGTCAAGATCAATAGTCGAGATAACTTATCATCGTCGGCTTCCGTGGTAGACGAACGAATGGCTGGATTTCTAGGTCCCGATGTACGTGGTCGTTAACCTGGCTATTATCCAAAACACTTATACCGTGAAAGTGTACGAAACTGTCAGACTTTCGACGGAATGACGTCTTCCGTTAACGATCATCCTAGAAAATTACTGACGCACGCATTCCAGCGAATTAACTGACTCCGAAATGTTTGAGGGAGGTCTCTAACTCCCACGAAGTCCAACACGTGTCTCTCATTCTGTCGCCGACACGTTTTTCCACGTTGCACGTGACTCCTAGACAATGTAAACAGAATAATATTCCCTAGAAATCCGTCGGTACAGCGAAGATGATCTGCAGACGTTTAATGATAGAGAACAATTGAAGAATGACGCAAGAGGCGCGGCAGCAATATTTAAAATTCGAGGAGTGGCTGCAACACGATAAATGTCCGGCGGGAGTTGACATTCGTGTCGTGTTTCGATTAACATCGATCGATGCTATAACACCGGCTTCGGACCTCGAATCGGTGATAGGACCTCGATTATCTCGACTCATTAGTTGGAAAATGACCTAGCTGATCGCATGATTCACCGCGTGACTATGCTTCGAACCATAATTTATTCTATCCTTTCTGAAAGGATGAATCGTGTTGTGTATTCCTTAACCTCTCGATGACGAACACTGGGTTTTTCGATACGATAAGAGATGAGAGATAGAGGGATTAGGAGATTTACAGATATACGGATTTACGGACTTAGGAAGCTAGGAGTATAGAAGCATGATACTGGAATTCTCATTATGTCGAAAGAATTCTCGAAGCACGCCTCTGCAATAACCGGTAACTTAATTCAATACTTGACACGTGTTTATCATTTCCCGGTAAGTTCACGTGGTTCAAAAAACACCTTATCTAAAATGCCGAGTAGTTTGCGATTCGTGGAGTCGAGATTAGTCACGAATACGTTTTGACAGTGTGGCTATTTCTAACGTGCCGTGGCTGCAGGGGGTGCGACCAATATGCTTATTTTTAGGAAACACCGATGTTATTAACCCTCTGCCGTTCGCACTTCGATAGAAGCATTCTCGTTTGTACAGCGTTTGTTTTCGATTAAGGATCAAATTTTGTTCGCAGAGCCGAGATGAATAAAACGGAGCTGAACATAGTGCTGAGCACAGAGCCAGCAAAGACATCCTCGAGCGTAATTCACTCGCACATTCCAGTACCGAGGATCACGAACGCGATTAAAGCACAAGAAAGATGTCCTCCGCCCCGGCGAGGATCGTTCGAAAAGCTGTCCAGAGGAGTATCCGTGGCAGCTCAAAGGGCATCGTTCGAGAAACTGGACGCTTCCGTTCAATTACGATCGAGGAACAATAATTTGTCGAGTTCGAGCATCGAGATGCGAAACTCGGCGGAGAAGCTCGCCTCCTCGACGATCAACTGCAAGACGAACAACGAGCCGATCTCTATCGCGAAATTAAACAGGAGCAACAGCCTCGAGAGCAAATGGAAGAGCAAATACGAGGAGTCTGAGAAGAGGAGGAAATTATTGCTACAGAAGAGCGAGGCTGGTAATTAATAATTAGTTATATGTTTAATAGCTTAATGAACGTTTGTATGGGGTCCGTCTAAAGTTGTAAGGAACTTTATTATGATTCCATTAGTCATCGTTAATGAAGTGACGAAACGCGGTTTCTTCCTTCTATCGGGCTTGCCAGCGTTTAATTTGATTAAACAGCTGTGGAACTTCGTAAATGTGGAACGTCTATGATCATTCCTTTACATATTTCTCGAAGTAGAACGTTCATCTTTTTTATTTCTACGTAAATTCTTCAAGTTGCACAAAATTTTTTTCGTATATTCTTTGAAGAATTTATTAAAGTTTAAAAACTTCATAACTTCAAAGTCTGAAAGTTAGAAGTAAAACACTTACGTAAAGGATACACAGCGAAAGGGAAGTGTCTGATGCGTGATTGTAGTTCACGGTCAATCATCTGTAATGCAGCTTAACCATTATTCGGTTGTGATTCACTGCTGCATGCAAAACGAATTCTGTGACGTTTTCTTAGTCATCGATGGTACGCGATAAAATTATGAATTGGTCGGAATAAAATATCTCCGGTGTTACGTCTAAACTCGTAATTCTCAAATAAATACAAAAATATTTGCAGCGAACAAAGAGCATGCAGATTTGGAGAAGAAATATCAGCAGTTGCAGAAACAAAATAGCACGCTGCAGTCGCAAATTCAAGATAAAGAACAAAAATTGCAAAAATTGCGAACAGGTAATTATAATCGATAGTTTGATTGAGTGCACATCTATAAGAAAATGTTACTTTCAGTTTCTGAAGCGGTGTGCAAAGAATACGAGCAATTAAAGCATCAGTACGATGTGGAGACAGGTGCGATGCACAAAGCTATGCAGCAAGCATCTCAGGTAAACTTGAAGCAATTTTATTTATTTCTTTTTGATTCTATGTGAGATTGTGTTTAGTGGTACAGACAAAACCGTGAACTGAAGAGACGATCCCAGATCATAACGCAAAAGTTTCTGCAAGTCAATCCGGAGGGATCTGTGGACATCGAGTTATCTGATGAAGTTGATTCGAATTTCGAAGATCTTGATCAGCTGAGAGAAACCGTGAGAGGTAAACGAAATATCCTAGATCGTTCAGCTTCCGTTGTTACAGAATCTAATTAGAAGAATAACTTTCAGAATTGAGCAAAGAGATAGCGAGGCTTCAGACTGAGTTGCATTCCGCTCGCCTTCAAGAATTCGAAGCGCAGGAACAGGTGACGCATTTAACGACGCAGTTGGAGGAAGAAAGGACTCTCAGGCAAAAATGTAATTACGAAGAAGCTTGAACTCGTAAATATTCACTGACTAAGTATGTATTTGACGCAGGTGAAGAAAAGGTGAACGAAATGAAGGTGCACAAAGAAAACATGGAAAGAGTGACCAAAATGGTGGCTGAAGAGGTGCAAGCGTTGAAGGCTCAATGCGATCGCGAAAGGGAAAATGCGAAAATTATGAAAATAGAAGCGGAAAGGGTAAGATTATTGATGCAGTTATATAGCTCAGCTTGTCATAATAACTGTCAATTTAAACAGGTGCAAAAAGAAAGAAACGTGCTGGCTCATCAAAGCGCTCTTCTAATGGCGGAAGTAGGCGACGACCCCAACGGAAGACTGCTAACTGTGTTACAAGAGGTGGAATCTTTGAAGAGATTATTAGAAGAAGAACAACAGAACCACAATTCGCATATACAAATGCTGGAAGAGAAGTTAGAAGAGAAAGAATCTAACGTAGAGTTCGAAATAGTTGAAGAGAAGTTGAAGTTAGCTGAATCGGAGCTGGAAGTTGCAAATCAGAGGGCAGAAAGAGCAGAACAGTTGGTAGAAAGTTTGGAAGGTCTGGTTCGAAGTTTGAAAGAGAAAATCAGTGAACTGGAGGAGAAGCTTTCCAGGCCACCGCCACCTCCTCTGCCGCCTCCACCACCGCCACCGATGTTTAATAACAATGGTCAATCGTCTATTAAATTGCTGACGAGGGAAAAAATGAATTCGGAACGCAACGCCGTGACCGACATGGAGTGCATGCTTGGTATCACAAAGAAAACGCCGACAGTTGCGCAACAACCTGGTAATTGAATTTTATATTGCATAAGTTAACGTGTATCAATCTTTCGTACTTAACTGTATCTTTTGTAATTTTATAGCTATCGATGATATCATTAATCAGATAAAAGGAGGACGGTTCACTCTAAAACAGACGGATGTAAGTATTTTGAGATATTGGAAGAGATCCATTTGTTAGTAATTATTTTGTGAGGTCGCACTTTGGGAATCTTCTTGGAAATTTCAAAGTAAAATGATTCATTGCAGAAACAAAGGGAAGAGGAAAGGAAAAGGCGACAGGAAGCGGAAAGCGCACCACCGGCTGTATCGGAAATGTTAAATATTTTGGGCACGATGAGAAGGAGAGCCAAACCAGTAAAGCAATCTTTAAAATCAACAGACCCACCGACATAAAAATAGACTGTTGCTTAGCAAGGTGCAGAAGAATTTCCGGATGTCTCGTGAAATTTTGAGACAATTTGCGATGATATTATTTATTTAGTTGATAATTTTTTTTACTATTAAATATATAAGACATGTAGATTTATACGATGAAGTTGCAATATATTTGTGTAATGTGCAGGACGTACTTTTCGTATGTACAGCAGATAAATAAAAAGACGGTTAAAGGGGAAGTGATAGGAGACAGATTCACAGTAAGCATTATGAAAAGGTGTATTATAAAAAGCTGATTACATGTACTGTAAAATACAGTTTATCGTACAAAAAGATGATCAAAGAAGTTTATCTTTGAAAAGCGTTGTATCTTCCTTTTATACATCAAAAGGAAGGACCTCTTAGGAATATGAGATGAATTAATGTTAGTCCTTTAGATTGATTAAGAAATTTGGTTTTTTATTTTGTTGATAATTACTTCTAGTTTGTTAGCGTCAAACAAAAGCACTCTCCTATAAGGCGTCATCTCATCGTCCCCTTCGCTCCAGGTTCCGGACAAACCGCTGCCCGAATCCTTTTCTACCGAAAATTCGAAACTGACCGTTGCTTCTTCGGCAAAAATTTCTTCCTCCGGATTACTCCATATAATGATAGGCTCCTCTACGTTATTCTTTTTCTTACTTTTCATTTTCTTTTGTAACTTTTTGTCCTGTGTTTTATACAGTTTGCAGATTAATATGTAATAAGAGAAATTGAAAGGCATTTTCCTGCCATTTGCTCGTTTTATTTCTGAAACTAAGTTTTCTAGGAGGGGCACAGAAATTTGAGCTGGAATGTTGACGAATCTTTCATTAATCAATAAGCCTAATGCTTCAGAGTCATTCTCAAGAACATGTTTTATCATAGTGTTCACTGCATCTGTTGCATGTTCATTGGCCATTTGTCTTAATAAGTCTCTCAGCTGTTGTATACAAGGATAATTCTGAAAGTAAAATTATTACTTAGTTATTTTGTTAATGTTAACTGAATGATACCTGGGATGTTTACTTACTTGTCCAGTAGATAAATTTATTACTGTGGTAATACCAAATACATCATTGACATCACTCTCTTCATCATCTGAAATCTCTAAATCTTCTGACTGCTTCACAACTGAGCCCACATAATTTTGTGATATAATTAGATCTGTAAGACCACCTAAGTCAATATGAGCCTTCAAGAAGAGCTGCTGCAGAAGTGTCTTGATGCCATGATAGTCTGGATCCAATGGATTTCTTCCTTCAAAATCTACTTGTATTTCCATTCCCTAATAAAAAATACTATTTTAACTACATTAACACATCATAATAACACATGAAATACTTTATGGATTTACTTAACTTAATTATGGAACACAATTAACATAAATCATTCAACACTTGCTTCACTAGAGTTGCATGAAATTTGTTAACATTCATGACTCCAATTTCCACAAAAAAAAAGAAATACATATTGAACAATCTACGTAGTATAATTACCACATTGATCATGACAATTGTAGTAATTTTATAGACTGTCTTTTATTGTTACTATTTACAAGAAAAGTAATGATCATAAATGACAGATGAAAACAAAATTAAATCAACGACCGCATGGTTAAAAGTGAGGTTAGACCAATGAACTACAATGTATATTGATGACATTTGGTGCAATCTTCTCACCTGCTCTTCTGGCATATCTTGCTCATTATCCTCGCTGTTCGATGAGCTCTGCTCATCATCATCGCTACTTCTGCTTTCGATATTTCGCTGAACATCACGTTTCTTTACCGGGGCAGCCATTGTCACAAGTTGACGGCTCGACTGGTTTCTAACCACGTGACATATTGCGACGATTCTTGAAACTATTGAAAATAACAAATGAGTAATCGATAATCTTATCTGACTACATCCTTGACTCTTTCAATGTCGAATTGACTACGAATATTTTACTGTTCTTTCTAATATCGTTCTACAACATCTAAGTAATATATTTGTCAATGACTTTCATGTTCGATTAGGCAGTGTAAAAGTTTATAAAAATACTGCAAGTAATGTCATTGAATCTATGTCTTTGTTTAAAAGTAGCCTATGTTACAACAGCACTTGCATATCAAGAAATGTGCTGTTTAACTGAAATATTTGCCACTAGATGGCAGAACATGTCCGATTTCACTGCGCAACGGGTTGAGCAATCAGATACGGCTCATTAAACGCATAAATGGTTCAGTGTTCACTACGGTGTTAATCTATTCAAGTTTTTCAACAAGGTGGGACGGTTTCGAGATAACAAGATGATAAGTGAACTTGATAACAGTTCTTGCCCATTACCAAGGAATCTCGTTAAGCTCTAAATAACGATATAGAACCGTATTTCCCGGATGGATCCAAAGGTAGAAATTTCGTATTAACCGCTAGAGATACGAAGTCACCATTCGTCACGCGCGCAGAGCATGCCGCGCAAGCGGGTTCGTTTTTTAAAATAAAAACTGTACGCAAGATTTATTTCTTATCGAATTCAATTACTCGTAATATGGAGGAAGTTTAAAGGGATTTAATGGATGAATTAAGAGGTGTTTTATATTTTTTTAGTGCAGTGCGATATCGTGGAGGAAGAATTTGTATTTCGAATGCAGGACCGTGTGCAACGAGGCGGAAGTGGTCCGTTGTCGGCACTGCAACGCCAAAATTCGATTAAAGTTCTCGCGCATGGTCCGAAGGAAATCCTGTTTTCTCAAATTTCCCGGAGTCTGTCAGGTGGCACCACGGCGTTCACCGGTCCGGGGTACATCGCATCGTACAATACGAGAGCAGTGCGATCGCTTTTCTAGGTTATAAAATACACGGCAACCCGTTACGTATCCCTCGAGTAGAGAGTCAGATATTCGCCACGAAAAAAAGAGACAACGGTGGCCCCTTTTGTCGTGCACCCCCGTGAGAATTTCGTGAGTGCTTTGAGCTGTGGCGGGCGGTGAGATGGCTGTCTCTCTTTCTCTTCTTCTACGCCTAACTCTTTCTATATAACTCTATCTCTCTTTCTTTCTCTTTTTATCTGGTGTTTTTCTAGATGTTCCGCTGAATAGATGTTCTCGAATACCGTAAACCATGCGATACGAGTACACAACGCGTGTATGTATATATATATATATCGATGTACACAATGGTCTGATGCGTCGAGGATCAGCTCGATTGTCAGCTATGCAACCGGAAGTAAATAATTTAAACGAAATTCACGCAGTACACGACGTATCGGATTCCCGCGAAATTAATACGTACGTTTCTCTTAGAGACCTTCAGCTTTTTGTGATTGGCTCGTTATTGCCAAGTTAATTATAATAACCAGTGTTACTCGTTAATCCACACTGGTTTCTGCGACAAGAACATATTCCACCCCTAAGTTTTATTTATCAAATACAATAATTAGACTTTTACAGTATCTTTTATGTCCTGGAAGTAATGTATGTTTTAATTAATCCTCTTACGATTACGCTGATCACCGAAATCGGTGATTAACGATGGAATCGAAGCAATTTGCAACACGACTCTACCCTGTCGAATTTCGTTGAAATTATTACGCGAAATAGAACCGTCTATCGGTCCTGTATATACGTGTACATTACTGCAATGTTTTTCATTTTTTGGCTGTTCGGTGTTCTTTTTTTTAACGCTGTTCCATAGCATAGCTGTCTCACCTGCCTTGATCTGTACTCCTTTGCGTAACACTTTTGTTCTCTGCATCCCCCATCGAGAAGTTTCTTCCCTGAAACGACACATTGTTCCACAAACAAAATTGCTGGGTTGTTTCTTTGGTTCTCGTTAACGTTGTCGAAGTCTTACAGTCGAAGAAGAAGCAATAGAAAGTGAACTGTTCCACGACGTGATGTCGACGCAAGAGCTTCCTGAATGGAAGTGATCGAACGCAATTGCCGATTAATTGCGCCGTTCCTCTCCTCTTCTCTAATTCGATAGCCTACTACCGATAACACGTGAACCATCGAGGATCGTTTGATACGCGGCGCGAACATACGATCACGATTAACGGTAGACACCAAAGACGATAACATCATTACGGATGCTTGGCTCCGTTTTCTTCCATTAATTTAATCTCTCTGACGTCCTTTACTCGTTAGCGTAAATTTTAAGGGTTTTCAGCCCTTATATATTTTCAAAATTAACAAGATTAAATAACAGTCGCAGTAGATACAATTAAGGGATGCCATCGAAAGTTTTGTGAAGATGGAAAATTTTTATAACAGTAAGAGTTAATCGTTTATTGATTTTTCTGCGATTTCGAGTGTGCTGCCATAGACTGTTCCATACCATTGTGCTATTTGACGTGAAAATCTGTTCCAATTCTTTCGTGCATGTAGGGTCGATGCAAGGAAAGAAAAATGTTAACAGATTGATTGCTCTTGGATTATGACTTTCAAGCTTCCTCAGTCACAAATTCTCAACTTTGCAATTCTCCAACTTCTCAAATTACTGTCACTACCTATAGGTTCGAATCTCTATTATGTTCAACCTCTATATCCCCAAATGGTAGTCCCAAATCCATATATCACCAAATCCCTACATCCCTAAAACAACCCCACATTATAACTTCAATTCTCTACAGTCCCAAATTCTTGTATTTGTAAATCCCTCCACATCCCCAACTCCCTATATCTCCAAATTCGTATATTCCTATATCTCTATATCCCCTAAACGTTTATCTCGGAAAATCCCATGTCCTCAAATGACTTCACCGGATGTAGAATGCAGTAAACAGAGTTGCGGTTCGAAGAGAAGGCGGTCTCTTTTTTTCGTGCAGGGTGGGAATTACAGGGCGAAACGAATGAAATTAAGCCATATGGTTATATCGCAGGGGTGTGCTCGACTCGATGCGCGGCGCAACTGGTTGATTTATCGGTGCTTTCGCGTCGCGAAAACTAGCAAGAAGACCGAATTGGATTACGCTGCGTGCACAAATTGCTTTATTCAAATGCAATTTAAGGGTTGCGCGTCTTTCGTTGACTGCGAAAGGAGAGTTTAAACAGGCCATTGTGTTCGACGACGTTCGTCACGTATACACTGTTCTAATTTATCGATTTCCTGTTTTATTTATGTATTCGCAATTTCGATCGAACGCGCACGTTGTTTCGAATCAATTTTATGTAACACGAATTTCTGGGAAATCGAAGGGGTGGTTAATCGACTTCCGTCGACCGTCTTTAAGACGTTCAGGCTTGACCTTTAGAGTAACGTAGGTGGATGTTGAAATTATCTCGCTACTTCATATTTTCTTTCACTGAAGTACGTTCGAGATTTATTATATGGTCAATATACCTCTATTTGATATTGCGCGGGTGGATCTTTATCAAACGTTTTCACCAGTTAAAACAGATCGTTCATTAAATACATTTATTCAATGCTCCGAGTTCCATTAAGTTTCTAGCAAATCACTTCGCCCCCCTGTGCGAGAACAGTTGCTTTTACATCTGACCCTTCCGACTTTCTTAAGGCTAGATTTAAACCGCGATTTATTCAAACGACCATGCTGTGCCGAAACGTGATTCCATGCTTTTCTAACTGACCTTCAATAATCCTAAACTGTTTAGGCAACTCGGGAAATGGACAAGGGTCGGTTCAAGCCCTTAGTAACCCCAGGTTCCCTTAGTGAAAGGTTCGATGATCAACTATTACGAAAAAAGTTAAGGTGTTTTAAATTTTTAAATTCCCAAATCATCAAGTTTCCAAAAATCACCTGACACTGTTCAGAGTGTCCACACTTTATAAAAAATTCTGGTTACTTCATCGCACATAGAATGTCTGAGCTCCCTGCTATAAGGTAGAATTGAATTTTGTGAGATAAAGTTTGTATCGGATCGTGAAGGTTAATTTATATTCAAGAAGGAAGAGTCTTTACGTAAATTTTCACTAAATTTCACTTTTGGTAAGTCTTAGTTGGTCGAAGACCGATATTGTTCGCCATCGTTTTGTATCACCGTGGAAACTTCAGCCATTTCCCGCGTCACAAATCATTTCAGTTGCGACGCGATTTAATGGAAACAGCAGCAGCCGTTAAAGTGTCGCGAAAGCTATCGTTGGTGAACTCTCAGTTGCAGATAAAGAGGTGTATATAATGTGAAAATAACCACCCCTAGATGCATTTCGATCGGGACCACTTTTTCAATCGTACCCATTACAGGACAAATAAAGTACGAGGATAAAATACACTGGATGCCTAATTATTCGTCGTCAAACATACGAGGTCATAAACGCTGTATAATCAGATCGTTGCTCGGGGCTCTCCCTTCTCTACTGGGGAGCGATATGAAATTGGTCATTGTAGAGACACCTTTTGGGGTGTCGTTCACCCCATCGTGTACTCTATTACGCGCATTAGACTCGAGGTTCGTTGGAAGCCTTTTCGAAAGACTAAAATGAAAGAAACTCGGGAGTTAGCGATTCACGGTAACAAATTTAAAGAGAATCTCTAAAGAGTTTATAGCTAGCGAATTCAAAGGGAAAGGATTCGGTAATTGTAAAAGATTCGGTAGCGTAAAATAGGTGTCATTGACGTCTAATACCAATTTCGAATTTTAGAACGTTTAATTTGAAATTTGCAAATTAGCCATACCTGTAATGAAAGTCTCAGTGTTATAGGAAATGCAAACAGTGAAGCCGTTAATTATTTCCGAGCCAGAGGTTAATTCGCAACACTCGATTCGCCTATTTAATGCAAGCATGCAGTTCGAAGGGGTCGTAACTGGTCGCCTAGTTACATAAGTAGGTGCAAGGCAGAAGGTTGGAGACTGGAGGCGAGATCGTAGGTTTATTGATTCGGTTTTCTCTCGCGGTAGAGTTTTTTCCCCTCTCCCACCCCCTAGATCCACCCAGTCCTTATCCGACCCGTTGCTTTCTGTTGCACTCCCACCCCGAGCATCACGACGTTGGAAGTAGGACGCAACCTTCAGGGGCTCTTTCCTTCCCCGTACGACCCTGGCTGACCCAAAACGCTATCAAATTAGTTCCTGTATACCGCCAATGCTCCTGCTACACTCTTTCAACATCCAATCGTCAAGAATACCCCTGTCGCGGGAATTACTCTAACGATCTTCGATGGAGTATCGACTTTTTTCAACCGCGTTTACTTTCTCGACCTTCAAACATCATTGCAGGATTGTCAAAGTTGCGTCTGTAAGCTATGTACAACTAGATGTTGTTACTTTAAAATTTGACTTTCATTTTTTATACGAGGGATGTTGTAATAAGTATATAAAAATAGAAATGATAAATATTAGTCACGTGACATGATATTTAAGGGTTAACACTTCGAGTTAAGTATACAGTAATATGTATATTTGGAGATTTTGTTAGTAAGAAGTTTGTGCTGTTGTAGGAGATTTTACAGCTGGAATGTTTATTTGCACAATAAGTCTAAGTAGAGCGGCAACTTTAATAAACGATCAGGGATATTTTTATCGTTCGACGATATTCACATAGGAAATTTAATAGCCCTATTATATCCGACGATACAATGGCATTATACAGCCTTCCTCTCGCATAACAATCCAACGTTATAAGGAAGATTTCTCTTTCGGAACATTGGCGTAATACGACGCCTTACTTCCCATTCACCGTGCAGCCTATTCTGTCTTGCGAGCGAGTTATTAGACTCGCTCGTCCCATTTCGCGAACAGTTTGATTAACGATTTTCCTCACAGTCCTAATAACCGCAGCAACGATCCTCTGGAACACGATCGTCGTTATTTTCCACCGTAAATATCACAGGCGAACGCTATCCAATGCCAGCCGGAAATACATTCGAAATGTTCCATGGTGTTTACGCTTCTTACTTGCACTCGTGGTAACGCTTGGTGAATAACGATGCGCTAAGTCGACTTAAATTCTCATTCGAATGGGAACAGGAACACGATACAACCGGAAACGACGTTTACGTAGGATCAAAAAAAGGAACAACGGACTCGAAAGGGATAATAAAGTTCCCGCCAACTTCGTGGGGCGCTCCGGTAACATAATATTACCAATCCTGCCCTGGAAGCTTTAGAAACCAGATAAAGAACAGAATTAATACTTTGTTCCATATATTCTGTATACCGGGTGTTACGCTGCATTTACTTACTTTGCAAAAACTGGCGGTTTGCAGATTTCGAATTTGGAGTTTTGGGATTTGGAAATTTTAGGTTTGGAGTTTGAGAATTTGGAGATTAGGGATTTGGGAGTCTCCGGTTTGGAGTTTGAGAATTCGGGGATTTGAGGTTTGGGGTCTTCGAAATAGGGAACTTAGAGATTTGTGGAGTGAGGAATTTAGGGGTTTAGGAATTTGGGGGTTTAGGAATTTAATAGGTTAGAAATTTGGAGGCTTAGGATTTTCATGGTTTCGGAATTTAAGGGCTTAGGAATTTGGGGGTTTAGGAATTTGGGGATTTAGGAATTTGGGGGTTTAGGAATTTCATAGTTTCGGAATTTAAGGGTTTAGCAATTTGGGGGTTTAGGAATTTGGAGGCTTAGGAATTTCATGGTTTCGGAATTTGGGGGTTTAGGAATTTGTGGTTTTGGGAACTTGGTAGTTTAGGAATTTAAGGACTTAGGAATTTGGGGATTTAGGAATCTGATACTTCAGAAATTTGGGGGTTTAGGAACTCCATAGTTATGAATTTAAGGGTTTAGGAATTTGGGGGTTTAGGAATCTGATACTTTAGAAATTTGGAGGCTTAGGAATTTCATGGTTTCGGAATTTAAGGGTTTAGGAATTTAGGGACTTAGGAATTTGAGGATTTAGGAATTTGGGGTTTTGGGAACTTGATAGTTTATGAATTTAAGCACTTAGGAATTTGGGGGTTTAGGAATTTGATACTTTAGAAATTTGGGGGTTTAGATACTTGATAGTTTAGGAATTTAAAAGCTTAGGAATTTGGGGGTTCTGGAATTTCATAGTTTAGGAATTTGAAAGCTTAGGAATTTGGAGGTTTAGGAATTTGATACTTTATAAATTTGATATTTCAGAATTAACACTAGAACTACCAACCAGTCAAAATGGCTGGTTTCAGATTTCTCATTTTATATAACAAAATTTTAT